CCGATACTGTATGCATGTAGTACTAGTACACCTACCTGGAGAACGGGTTTTACCGAAAATTTCCCTCTACCGAACCGCCGATTTTGGCGAATACCGAAAATATTACACCACCGAAAATTTCTGCTTTTACAGAACGCTGCTCTTTTTCATTCTCTCTTCTTTGCCATGTTTCTGTGTTTTCCATAGAAACCCGGTGCTACATCATCAGCCGACTTTCAGCTCGACCTGAAAATGTTGGAGGAAGCGTTCACAGAGAAAACGAAAATGTTCATTTTCAACACTCCTCATAATCCTACCGGCAAGGTTAGTGGCTATGCGGAGTTGCCCTGTGTCCCATTCGTTGGCTAGCTATATTGTGTACTGACCTATTACACTCATTTCCACACAGGCTGCCCTCCTAGACGCCAGAGGTGGCACAACTGTGTACAAGGGGTTTGTCCGCCCTCTGATGGAGTACTGCTCCTTGGTGTGGATGGGCTCCAGTACCTCCCGCCTGGACAAGATGCAGCACAGGGCGCTAAAGATCATCGGCCCGGGAGTTTGGCTTCCCAGCCTGGAGCACCGCAGAATGGTTGCATCCCTGTCGCTCCTCTTCAAGCTAACATATCTTCCCCCGACGAATCCCCTTAAGGCCATTCTACCAGCCCCAGCCGACCCACCCCCTCCGTGCAGACCATCGACCAGGCTGGCTACTAAGATCGCTCAGCGACACCAGAACCAGCTAAAATCCACACTCCCGGCACGCACCCGAAGCAGCCTCCGCAATGGGTTCCCCGGTTGCGCCATTCCAACGTGGAACAGCCTGCCCGGACATGTCTTGCGATCTGCACCGCACCCACAACAGCTGCAGTCCTTCAAGGAAAGATGCCTTAAGTACCTGCTGCGCCTTGACTGGCAGAGAGCAGCTGACGCTCTTTGACTTCCTTAGCTTAAGTTCTGATTGACCCCAATTTCCCTATCCAACCTACATGTATCCTTTATCTTCATCCTTCAGCAGTGGATGTGTAGGCGCTGCACTTCCGTATACATGTCTTGCTCTCGTCTTGTTTTTCTTCTCACTCTCTCTCTCTCTCTCTCTCTCTCTCTCTCTCTCTCTCTCTCTCTCTCTCTCTCTCTCTCTCTCTCTCTCTCTCTCTCTCATGTCTCCTATGTCCTTCTCTATTTTTCTTGACGCGCTTTGTCTGTGCAGACGCCGAGACCACCAAGGTCGGCTGAGCAGCAGGGCCCCGCCACCACTTTCCGCATTCATTCGGGAGCATGTGGACTTAGTAAAAAAAAGAAAAAAGCTATAACCAGGGAGTGGTAAAATACCTTCTCTCTGGCTATAACAGCGGTTGTTTTTCCAGTGTGTGTCGAGTATGAATAATCTGAAATGAGCTTGAGCTTCACTTTGAAGGGCGACGTGTTTCTTGTTGTATTGTTTTGTCCTCTGCTAGCAGTCACGGCGTGTATTTAATGCTCAGTGAACTTTATGCCTGCAAACCTTCATGTTTTATATTAACACAGTTTTGTCCTGCTACCCTTCATTGCCCAGATCTTCTCCCGTTCCGAGCTGGAGCAGATTGCAGCCATGTGTGTGAAGCACGACGTGCTGTGTTTGAGCGACGAAGTGTACGAGTGGCTCGTGTACGACACCAGCCCGCCACACATCAAAATCGGTGAGTCAGCAATGTTGCTGTGCTTGGGAATAGGGTTAGGGTTAGGGTTAGGGATCGTCATAATCTGATGGTGAAAAGTGACAATTGTTCGAAATTTTCTGGGGTTGGCAGAAATTATTTGGGGTTGGCATATCAGAAAAATGTACTGGCAGACCCCTTATATTGAAAATTTCCTAAAAAAAAATTAAAATTACTAGTGGATACGTGAAAAATAAGGTCCCACTTTCCTGCCATAATTTGGCTACTTTCCTGCCGTAGTTTGCTACTTTTCTGCCGTAATATTTTGGCATGCCATAAACTACTTTCCTGCCATAATATTTTGGCATGTCTTTATTTTGCATATGCACACCCATTATGGGGTAGTACTTCAATTATGCAAGTTGTACCGTATAGTGCGCACCTTTGTATAACGCGCACCCCCAATCTTCATTGGGGGTGCGCACTTCAATCTTCATTGAAGTACATGCATTTCATATTCGGAGCATAGTGCGCACCTGCGATTTGGGGCCTAAAATAGCACATCTAAAGTGCGCAATATACTCCGGAAAATACGGTATTGCCAATAAATAGTGACTATTGATATAGTGGAAGAAGATTCATTGGTGTTATTGCTGGAAAAAGGCAATTTAGATGTAATAATGGTTCTTAACCCTTTATTGACGGACTGCACGAGTTTCGATCATATAATTATGATCAAAAGTCTGCAGGCGGTAAAATCTTCGTAACTCCATCGTTTCTTGAGCAAATTCCACAATCGAAGGGTCTACGTGGTAGCGAAAACTCCAAGCTGTCCAATGCAATAATCGCCGAAAAGTTACGATGTCGGACGCCAGAGATATCGCACGCCATATTCTTACCTCGGCAAATTCAAATTTTTGATCGATCATTTCGCCATTTTGGGGGGAAATCCCTTTTCGTGTGCTCTTTGAGCGACTGAGCACATGATAATGACGTAGCCGGCTGAAGTTTGAATCGTCTCAAACAGATTTGAGCGTTCTGCGATGAAGGAGAGTGGAATGGCGTTGATGGGACGAATTTGCTTGCATATCAGGCTTGGAGGCGACTTTGCTGTGTTACCGCGCCTGATTTGTGGCGGCTGGATAATGGAGCTTGGTACCCTGGCGTTGCTCTCGCCAAGAGCTTTCCAATGAGCCCTTGATTGTGAAAATCAAGTTAACCCTTTGTGTACGGACTGTACAACTTTCGATCCCCTGGGATCGAAAGTTTTCAAAATTTCAATCGATCGTAACTCAGTCATTCCTGGGTTATATCCGAAAACAAAAATATGTAGGTCAAAGAGAAAACTCCCAGCTGTCCATTGAAACAATCGCTGAAGCGCTCCGATGTGTGGTTCCAGAGTTACGTAGCTCTAAAGTCGAATCGCGGCAAATGTCGCTCAATAGCCGCTCGCGCAAATTTGAATGAGGGATATCCCCATCATTATGGGCATGGAATGACGTAGAAACACATTCAAAATGGTAAACGGACTCATGGCAGTTTGTAAAATTTGTTTGAAGTAACAGTTAGTTGTTACGAGCAAGGAGAGCGAAATGGCTGATGCAAGACGACTTCTGTCGGAATATTGGCGTTGCAGCTAAGACGCTGGGCTGTAGCGCTGGCGTTTTGGCCTTCGTGGTGGCAAGCGTGGGCTCAATGTGTTCCTCTTGCGACGAGCTTTCCAGGAAGCCCAAGATTGAAAAAATCGTCAAAAGGAGACTTAAGTTATGACCCGGATAATTATAGAATTTGAGGTGAGTCGAGATCAAATTCAGTCTGTGTACAATTTTTCAGTACATAAAGGGTTAAGGACACCAAAGTTATGACATGGAAAAGTTGAAAATTGTACTGACATGTTGTAATCCATCCATAAAGGGTTAATTGCATTGTATTGCATATTTGTGTAAGAAATACTTCACTTCTAGAATATGAAGGAGAGTGGAATGGCGTTGATGGGACGAATTTGCTTGCATATCAGGCTTGGAGGCGACTTTGCTGTGTTACCGCGCCTGATTTGTGGCGGCTGGATAATGGAGCTTGGTACCCTGGCGTTGCTCTCGCCAAGAGCTTTCCAATGAGCCCTTGATTGTGAAAATCAAGTGAAGGACACCAAAGTTATGGCATGGAAAAGTTGAAAATTGTACTGACATTTTGTAATCCGTCCATAAAGGGTTAATTGCATTGTATTGCATATTTGTGTAAGAAATACTTCACTTCTAGAATATATAAATAAGCAAAAGATGTTATCATGACTATTCTAATGATTGTAAAGAAATAAGCATTGTTATTCTCTTCTAATAAAGTGCTAAGAGGTAATATAATCTACCCAACAATGTACAAGTGCTAGTATACTCTAATAAATTAAACAGTTGTGATAATAATATCATCAATTAATGGGTCTTCTTCTTTAAAGTCCTCCATCTATCCACGCATTGCTTGCCCGCCTTGCCATTGACACCCATGCCGAACTCTGACGGCTTCGGTTGTTTCGCCTTGCTCAAGGGCCAACGTTTTCGTATGAAATCGTCCATCTTTTGGCGTGAATGGCTGGCGTGACCTCTGTGACAATTGAGATGACTTGAATTTATCTTGTGAGTTGAGGCGCTGGGGAATAGATAACAAAAAAGACAAAATATACATTTCGATAACTGCAATCTTTCTAATAAACAGAGAAAGTAAGCACCATTACAGCAAAGACAATAAAACATTGATTACATTATAAGTCATACACTTACAGTGGCATATTTGACTTCTTCTTCCACCTTTTCCACCTTTTCCACCTGCTCCACCTGCTCCACCTGCTCCACCTGCTCCTCCTCGCTTGACTGTCCGAATATGTCCTCCACTAGATCATCCTGTAAACATCTAGAAAAACCCAACAGTAGAGAACAATAGTAAGAAACTACTTGATAGGCAATAGTTGTCTTGACAACACATTACAGCAACCAATCCAAGGTATAATTATATCTAATAAACTTACACCTGGTTGGTCATCTTCTTCTTCTTCATCTGTAGAAGTTAATGGTTGCTCATCTCCTTCTTCTTCATCTGTAGAAGTTAAGGTAACGCTAGGGTAGACTTCAGTAGTATAACTTGAGACAAATTTCCTCCTCCTCTGCACATGGTTCCTCCTCTTCTGTATCCTCCTCCTCAGTGCTAGGTAGGACACAACTTGACCTTGCCTACAGGTGCATTAAAAGTAGAAGAATACAAGTAATTCTATTCAATCCATAGGCATAGCATAGGCATAGCATAGGCATAGCATAGGCATAGCATAGGCATAGCATAGGCATAGCATAGGCATAGCATAGGCATAGCATAGGCATAGCATAGGCATAGCATAGGCATAGCATAGGCATAGCATAGGCATAGCATAGGCATAGCATAGGCATAGCATAGGCATAGCATAGGCATAGCATAGGCATAGCATAGGCATAGCATAGGCATAGCATAGGCATAGCATAGGCATAGCATAGGCATAGCATAGGCATAGCATAGGCATAGCATAGGCATAGCATAGGCATAGCATAGGCATAGCATAGGCATAGCATAGGCATAGCATAGGCATAGCATAGGCATAGCATAGGCATAGCATAGGCATAGCATAGGCATAGCATAGGCATAGCATAGGCATAGCATAGGCATAGCATAGGCATAGCATAGGCATAGCACATCATAATGACACTATTTCAATACTTGGAGAATATAATACATTATATATCTACTTACTCTATGGATCTCCGGATTATCACTTTCCTCTTCATCCGAACTGGTTTCAGCTGTCCTGGATTGAACTTGCTTTCCAGCTAACCTTGGGTCAACTGGACGTGACTTAAAAGAACAAAGACCATACAAGAGCAATACTGTTTAGTGCAAGCCCTACAGACTAATGGGTTTTGCTTTCAATTACAGTAGATAAGTATTTAAGCTACAACACTCGTATTCTCACTGGCTTTTTGGGGGGTGGAACGAAATCCTTGTCATCGCTATCCTCCTCATCGTTGTCTAGACTCAATCTTGCCTTGCGCATGTTGCTGAAAGCACGTTTGCGCGTTTCGTGAGCACCAATTGATCTGTAAAACAAACATAAATAAACATTTAAATAACCGACGAGGAGACAACAGTCGTATGAGTCGTATGAGTGTCGTATGAGTGTCGTATGAGTGCACAATTGATATTTTTCATTGCTATTATTATGCAGGCAGGCATAGTGGGATGGTCTAAGACCATGATTGAGAAACAGAGAAACAGAGGGTACCAGGTTCAAGTCCTGCTTGGAAGCAGAAGGATTTTTTCCAGCCGTGCTGCGACCCACAGTTAATTGGGAACTCGTGGCCTGGCACGAGGGAAACATGGATGCAGTGAATGGGATTTCGGTCTTTGACCACTTTGTGGTGGGTCTGATCTACTCACCTCCCACCGTTTAGGAGCTTGATCCAAGAGGGTGGTGGCGTTCCTGCGGATGCGGAAAACTGGGCCTTTGGCCGAGTCTCACGCGAACCGTGAAATTTTTTTTTTTTTTTTTTTTTTTTTTTTTATAAATAAACATACACATCAATAGTCATACTCAATCTGCAGACGGAACTGTTTCCTCCTTTATGGACTCAGCTGCGTAGCACAGAGAAGAGGAGGCCGAACTTGGTACAACATGCTGGTACAACATCAGTTAAAACGCTACAAATCCTGTCTTGTTCAGTGTGGCCTTTGTAGGCTTTGATTTCGATGAAACATGTTTACCTCATTAAAAAGGGTTACACTCAAACCAGTTTTACGTTGACATGCACATCTCAATGTGCTCTACTACTGAGGCCATGTCGGTGACGTCATAATAATAATAATAATGATGATGTCATCTGCATTACAAGCACTGGCTTGCACCTCAATACAAAGCCCATTATACTATTAGTATTGAGTGTCAAGCCAGTGCTTGGGGTGCCATTCCACACAACACATCTCCAATGAGGATGTAACATGCATAACCTGTACTGGCTATGAGTGAACTATGCATAGCAGCACGAGTTGAGACATGCAAATGTAACCTCATGGCTGTGGTTCTTGTTTGATTTTTGTGCCGGAAGTAGGCGTCAACATCATTAGATGTAGTATTTGACATTGTCCGTTGTAGATTTGTAGGACAGTGAGTGTTGTACGCCTCAGTCATCAGGAACTATTACTTTTGAAGTTCATGAACTGAAGAATGGCACTGAGTTGTGTTACCATGGTAGAGGAGCTGCGGGGGAAATTTCCACTTCAGGTGCCGACCATGCCTGCAGTGGTGTGAGTGATGGTGTAGTGATGTTTACCAGTGTTGTCTGATGTGTATGCTGTGTGCGTGTGTGTGTGTGTGTGTGTGTGTGTGTGTGTGTCTGTTAGCGTCTGTGCCTGTGTTTGTGTGTGTGTCACTGTGTGTGTGTGTGTGTGTGTCTGTGTGTTTGTGTGTGTATGCTGTGTGTGTGTGTTTGTTTGTTTTCATCGCTCTATCACCGCCACCATTGCTCCTAATATCGATGCTTAGCCACTCTGCCGGGCATGAGAGAGCGCACTCTCACTGTTGGAAGTGCTGGCAAGACGTTCAGTGCAACTGGATGGAAGGTATGTGTGTGTATTTGTGTGTGTGTGTGTGTGTGTGTGTGTGTGTGTGTGTGTGTGTGTGTGTGTGTGTGTGTGTGTGTGTGTGTGTGTGTGTGTGTGTGTGTGTGTGTGTGTGCATCTGCGTGTGCGTGGTACGCATCATTACTGTTATGGATATTGCCACCGCTTCTTTACTCAGTATTCCCACCAAGCTTGGCCTCACTGTTAGCTTTGGCAAGTGAAGTGCATGGCCATCATTGCTACAGTGCTCCTCCTTTGACCGGCTGCTTAATGTTGGTGGAGGGGACACGGAGATTGTGCAAGAGTTCACTTGCCTCGGTAGCTGCTGCTACTGATGGGCAGTTGTCGGGTGACGTCTCTGCACGGTTTGCTAAAGCTTGCCCGCAGCCCCGCGTGCAGGCACATGTGTTCTCCAAAAACTCTGCACCGTGCACCTCAGCGTCATTCTTTGGTTTTGTTGCTGATGTGTTGTGTGTTGTGTGCAGACCGGGTGGACAGTGGGCCCACCCGAGCTCATCCGGTGTCTTGCCTCAGTCCATGGACAGTCGATGTACACATGTCCTAGTCCTCTCCAGGTCAGTAATGAACAGTAATGAACAGTAATGAACAGTAATGACTGAGTGATGAGCACTACACGTAGGCAGCCTGCGGTCATGTGGCAATCTTCATGGACAGGCAACTTTGCGAATAACGACCCGCGCTCGGGCACGGGACAAAGTGTTGTTCTTCACGAGGTTGAAAGTATGCAGTCTAGGTCTGAAGACGGTGTCGTTATTCGCGAGTTGTTGTTATACTCTAGGTTGTAATTGGCAAGGTTGACAGTAGCCAACTTGACTGTGTATCACTTGACTGTGTATCACACACCTATCATCATGTGACATTGGCTACACAAACGTTTGCTGCTCGTGTTTGTGCATCGCATACCATGTGCAACGATTAGTTACAATTTCTTTTCTTTGAGAATCTCTGAAAGATTGGTTAACTCCACTACTCTGCACCATGGCTCTTCGCTGACCTTCTCCACTTGCACAACACCAGCATGGTGGAGAAACTCCGAGAATGTCAGAGCTTGCCAAAAATATGGACACTCTGTCTGTGATAGTAAAGTGCAATGCAGAATGGAAAATCTTAAGACGAAATTTGATTGTCACCACTAGAGCCCTATGATATGTATCAGGGCACTGTTGTTGTTGTTGTTGTTGTTGTTGTTGTTGTTGTTGTTGTTGTTGTTGTTGTTGTTGTTGTTGTTGTTGTTGTTGTTGTTGTTGTTGTTGTTGTTGTTGTTGTTGTTGTTGTTGTTGTTGTTGTTGTTGTTGTTGTTGTTGTTGTTGTTGTTGTTGTTGTTGTTGTTGTTTGAGTTGTTGTTGTTGTTTCAAATCTTTATTCTCACGATAGTCAGTGGCCAATAAGAGATGAGTTGTTGTTGTTGTTGTTGTTGTTGTTGTTGTTGTTGTTGTTGTTGTTGTTGTTGTTGTTGTTGTTGTTGTTGTTGTTGTTGTTGTTGTTGTTGTTGTTGTTGTTGTTGTCGTCGTCGTCGTCGCCGTCGCCGTCGGTGGTGTTTGTGTTTGTGTTGTTGTTGTTGTTGTTGTTGTTGTTGTTGTTGTTGTTGTTGTTGTTGTTGTTGTTGTTGTTGTTGTTGTTGTTGTTGTTGTTGTTGTTGTTGTTGTTGTTGTTGCTGCTGCTGCTGCTGCTGCTGCTGCTGCTGCTGCTGCTGCTGCTGCTGCTGCTGCTGCTGCTGCTGCTGCTGCTATTGGTGTTGTTGTGGGTGTTGCTGTTGTCTTGGCAAATGCAGGAAGCTGTTGCAGAGGGTCTTGAGTTGGAGATGTCACGACTTGGCACTCCAGAATGCTACCTCACCTCCCTGGCGGCCGAGCTCAAGCCTAAGCGTGACTGGTTGTCTAAAGAGCTGGCAGAAATCGGACTAACACCAATCATACCCGAGGGAGGCTACTTCTTACTGGTCGATGCCGAACCCCTAGGTAGGTTGCTGCTCTGTGTATGTGTCTTTACCTGTGTCTGTCTTTCTGCCTACCTGTCTGTCTGCCTGTCTGTCTGTTTGTTTGTCTCTCTCTTTTCCTGTCTCTTTGCCTGTCTCTCTGTCTTCCTGCCTGTTTGTGTGTGTGTGTGTGTGTGTGTGTTTGTGTGTTTGTCTGTCTGTCTGCCTTTCTATCTGCATCTGTCTGTTTGTGTGTATGCCCACCTGTCTGTTTTTGTGAAGAGTGAAGACAACACACAGATCTGAGAAGTTTCAAATGGTCTTTGTAATTGTACGTTTAACAATTAACACCACTCCAACAGCGGCGCGGTGCTTGCTTACACGGGCACCACACGTTGAGACTGACATGAAAGACAGGCGGAATGGGACAGTTGCCTTGATGGGATACTCACGTGACACTTACCTGGTGACATCTGGGAGAACATGTGATGGCACTCTGCCGAGAGATAGAACAGGGTGTAAAGAGTGCAATGGGAGTTTGGTGTTGTTTCCTATTTATTTCCGGTGCCTCTCCGTGCTGGTTGGGTTTGATCTGCTGCCTCCGTATGCCGTTTGGTCTCGTATCTGTCCACTCTGTGCTTGATGCATGCTCGGTGTATCGGTAGGTGTGCAGGTGAAGTGACCGGGTACTGTGATGGGACAAGTGTGCCCGCCTGCAGGAGTGACGCTGCGCTCCACTGACAGAACAAAATCTAAGCATGACGCTGTAGTCGCCAGGTATCGTTTCATGAATCACTCGTCGTCGTCGTGCCCACCATTACGAATGAAATGAAGTGGAAAGAAAAGTTCGAAAACTCAACTCAACGCTAAGACACAAAGCATACTCCGAAGCCATAATACAGGTGGAATCCTGATAATTCGAATATGGCTTAATTCGAACATACCGCTTAATTGGAAGTTTTTCCAGGACCGATTTCTATCAATACGAGTCCCGCATAAAAATTTCTGATAATTCGAACCTCGAACTGGATATGTCCGGTTAATTCGAAGTCCCACAGATTCCACTTACATAGAAAATGTGTGGGATTTGTGCTGATAGTTCAAAGTTAGCAAAGTGTAATTCGAAGTTCACTGTACACTGTACTGGTCAGTTCAGTTTGCATGAGCAGGCTGTGCTGGTCAGTTCAGTATCCGTGAAATCTGTGTCTAAGGTCCATAGCGCGACTCTGCGTGACCATGGGAGCATTTTGACATACATATTGTATTGTGGGTTCATGTTTGGATAATTAGAATGTCCGGATAATTAGAAGTTTTTTCCTGGCATTTTGAGGTTCGAATTATCAGGATTCCACCTGTACAACAGAACATGAACCATTCCAGAACTGCAGGGCGTGACAGCAAGGAGAGAGGAAAACATGAACACAGCAATTGAACATGGCCATACATACTTTTTAATGAAATCAAGTAGCAAGCATTTGGCTGGCTGTCGATTAGAAGTACGAGTACCGACCGGCTTTGCCAGTGTGTGAAGTGTTTGGAAGTTTGACACTTTTCAAGTTTCCGTTTGCTTTGACTTTGAAGCTTGGTCCTCGGTTTGGTCTCAGTGCGTTCATTAAATCAACAATGCTCTAGGGTTGTGGGTACTTTGACAAGGGACTGGACAGAGGTGTGTGGATTGTGTGCTTTATGTTCCAGGTTTGAATCTACCGGAAGACGGCCGTCCGGAAGATTGCCGCTTTGTGTATTGGCTGGCAGAAGAAAAGGTACGCATCAAGCACGCAATGTCACTGATATGCATGCATATGTGTGTGTGCATACGCATGCATGCACACACGCACACACACACACACACACACACACACACACACACACACACACACACACACACACACACACACACACACACACACACACACACACACACACACAATGCTGGTGTTGCCTGGAGCACTCCGCATCTTTTGATCCAGCAGTGTACATGCTGTTCAGTCAGTGGCTGAACTCCACACTAGGCCCAGACAGATTCTGCTCCGCTCGCCTCGATATTTTGCCGCAAAATGTTGCTGCGAAATCTTCGATATTTTGCCGAGCCTGGCACAAGAAACTCGATATTTTGCTCCATTTTGCTCCGGAAAACGTGTAATTTATCCACTTCCCGTACAATCCTGTACAACGTTTCATAAAAATCGCAGGATCGGTTTCTCAACACGGGTTTCCTCGCACGTGTCCCTGAGTTCTTCCAAAATCATGTCGATCCACAGTGAATCCCAGTGATATTTCGGTGACATGATCTCGTCCTGGGCAGTGTATCCCGCTGAACGGGTGAGAAACAAGGAAATCTAAGTAGCAGGCATCGATTTTACCCAGCATCTCGATATTTTGCTCCGATTTTGCCGGCAATTTCCGGTCTTTCAATTCTTCGATATTTTGCCGAAAGAATTGCCGGCAGGATCTGTCTGGGCCTACTCCACACATCACTTTGATCAGTGTGTTTGCATGTTACCATGGTCACTGTCACTCTACTGAATCAGAATGTAGCAAGAAGGACAACGACCCATCGCACCCTCCACGAGTAGATACAGCGTGAGGACACAGCCTGTTGAGGCAGGGGAGTAGTGTAGTAAGAAGGAGCCACGAGTGTGTGTGATCCCCGGTAGCCCAATCGGTAGGGCACTGTCCCGGAAAGACAGGGGTGCTGGGTTCGAATCCCGCTCTTGGATCCTTCTTTTGCACCATGAATAGTACTGTTATGGTTGCCTTGGTAACTGCTTCCTGGTATAGGGCTTGAAAGTGATGACGTCAAAAACGGCCAGGGAGTAGTAATTTGACATCAGATTTCTATTTTGGATCCACTAAGGTGTGACTTTGCTATTGCCTCAGTATGTGGGTGCATAGCAACCCACTCATGTCGTATACATGTGTGACTTTTACTTCGCCACCAGTTGTCACCCCGCCCCCAGTAGCCAAATCAGTCAGTTTCACTGGCTACATCACCTTGCTGTGAGTAAGACCGCTTGAAATGTGCTTGGATCCATACAAAAACTGGATCCAAGTGGACCCAGTTTTTGAATTTTTGAAATTTTGAAATTGTTGCTATGCTGTGACGTAGCACTTTCAAGCCCTATTCGGGATATTGCTGTTATTATATGAGTGGTCCGTCACCATTGTTTGTTCTCAGGGCATTGCTGTTATTATATGAGTGGTCCGTCACCATTGTTTGTTCTCAGGGCATTGCTGTTATTATATGAGTGGTCCGTCACCATTGTTTGTTCTCAGGGCATTGCTGTTATTATATGAGTGGTCTGTTACCATTGTTTGTTCTCAGGGCATTGCTGTTATTATATGAGTGGTCCGTCACCATTGTTTGTTCTCAGGGCATTGCTGTTATTAGGGGTCGTCGCAAAAGTTTTCTGTCGTCCCTGAAACGAACATCGTTCATTTCGTACTTGGACCCCCTCCCCTCCCTCTGAAACGAACACAGCTTGCTATGCTGGACGACGAAAATCGCATGCATGTACATGTCATATGCACAGTGTCGGTCGACTTGCGATTTTGGCTCGCACCCCCTCCCCCCCAAACGAATCATGTTCGTTTCAGGGACGACAAAAAACTTTTGCGACGACCCCTTATATGAGTGGTCCGTCACCATTGTTTGTGCTCAGGGCATTGCTGTTATTATATGAGTGGTCCGTCACCATTGTTTGTGCTCAGGGCATTGCTGTTATTATATGAGTGGTCCGTCACCATTGTTTGTTCTCAGGGCATTGCTGTTATTATATGAGTGGTCCGTCACCATTGTTTGTTCTCAGGGCATTGCTGTTATTATATGAGTGGTCCGTCACCATTGTTTGTGCTCAGGGCATTGCTGTTATTATATGAGTGGTCCGTCACCATTGTTTGTTCTCAGGGCATTGCTGTTATTATATGAGTGGTCCGTCACCATTGTTTGTTCTCAGGGCATTGCTGTTATTATATGAGTGGTCCATCACCATTGTTTGTTCTCAGGGCATTGCTGTTATTATATGAGTGGTCCGTCACCATTGTTTGTGCTCAGGGCATTGCTGTTATTATATGAGTGGTCCGTCACCATTGTTTGTTCTCAGGGCATTGCTGTTATTATATGAGTGGTCCGTCACCACTCTTTGTTCTCAGGGCATTGCTGTTATTATATGAGTGGTCCGTCACCATTGTTTGTTCTCAGGGCATTGCTGTTATTATATGAGTGGTCCGTCACCATTGTTTGTGCTCAGGGCATTGCTGTTATTATATGAGTGGTCCGTCACCATTGTTTGTTCTCAGGGCATTGCTGTTATTATATGAGTGGTCCGTCACCATTGTTTGTTCTCAGGGCATTGCTGTTATTATATGAGTGGTCCGTCACCATTGTTTGTTCTCAGGGCATTGCTGTCATTATATGAGTGGCCCGTCACCATTGTTTGTTCTCAGGGCATTGCTGTCATTCCAACCTCGCCGTTCTACACAAAGGAACACGAACACTACGCCAAGAAAGTCGTGCGCTTCTGCTTCTGCAAGGTATAGCTGACCCCTTTATCTTGTCTGGTGTTGTGTCACTAGTGGGTACTTTCGTATCGTTGGAAGTTGAAGCCGGTAATGACTAATGAGGCATGCAATCTATCAGTGTACATGCCCATAGCTATGTGTATGTCAACAACAGAGCTAGAGGAATCATGTGTTGTGTTGTGTACCGGTATGTGCATCTACAGGAGGACTCTACCTTGGAGAAAGGTGCAGAAAAGCTAAGGCGGTGGAAAGCATCACTGTAAGATGGCAGGTGATGTACACAGCCCCCCCCCCCCTCCATCATGTACTCTGTTGACAACATACTCCAAATTCTAATCATAGCAACGAAATACGAATTCCGACTCCCAAAAGCTATTCATAACGTTTCACTCTTCATACAATCAAATCATTTTTCTGTAGCATTTCACATGTAGCCTCCATTGATCACATTGGATCTGTCAACCTGTTCTACAATACTGAATCTTCATTTGAGTTTAGGACTTCACAATCATAGGAGTAGAGTCATCTCTGATAGGCAAGGTTTCTCCGATTCACAGAGCCTAAGTCTAGTGTGTCGGGTCATCGTCAAGGCAACACACAACACTGTCATTGGCCTGTAGGGCCTGGGTGATGTTTTTTTCACTGAATCATATTAATTTTCTCCTCAAGATGTGACTGTATCTTGTTTTTATTCTCCTATTTCTCGTATTCTAGTTTTAGCCAGGATTGTCTGGGTGTACGTATAGTTCGAAACAGATTTGTCACAATTCTAATTTCCTATAGCAGGAGCATTTTTGAGTACCGCATTTGGTGACTCACTTCCTCTGTCCATTAAATACTGCCTTAGTAGTGGCAGTCTTGCACAATGTGTTCAAGTGCCTTGTGTATGTTTGCTGCCTATGATGCCGTATAAAGTGTTTTGGAATACTTTGCTTGTACCGGTATACAAGTATCGGCAATGAACCGTTATGGTGCCATGTGTGCTTAGAAGATCTGGCTATCACCAGTCGCTGGAGTGCCATTAGGGAGGTTTCGCTCTACGGAATTCCGTATGAAAATAACGTAGGAACTGCATGGAATTTTCATACGTAAAAATCAGAGCTGTTGGGTTTCGCTCTATGTGATTTCTCCACGACAGCTTACATGTATGTAGTTGAGAGCCAGGGGTTGGATTTCACCTCGTAGCACCATGCTACTGTTCATAACACCCGATCAGGGCTGATGATCCCATTCTTCTTCGAAGCTTCTCTTCTGAACTCTATCTGTTCAAGTAAGTAGATCTACCCCTCTGCTGTATTAGTGCTGGATGGATAACGGTGAGGTGCTCGCTACAAACAGCTTTGCCCAGGCTATGCGTATGCACCATCATGTACCATCTTTCTGAGGCTCCGTTGTTCTCACTTTCAGTTGTGGCAGTTAGGCTTGTGTCTCTCGCTGTCTCACTGCAATCAGCACCTGTCTGCCTCTCTTGTATTATTCAGTGACTACAGTGTCCTACACTTGTAGTATGACCAATGCGCACATACATACTGTAAGATTTGGCCTGATGTGTGTGGTGTAGAGAGCGCGGTCGCCAACATGCACTGTCCTTGCTAGCGGAGTAGCAAGTAGTATCAATGACCAGTACTGGATTGTAGGTGTTCATCCCTGACTTCGACTCGAGTTCCTGTAAAACGACCTAAGGACTGCATGTTCATCGTACAGAGTCGGGAGTTGGAGGTGCAACCAACTGTTCTAACTAACGAACTTACATGTACTTTCACTTACTTTCTTGGGACAACAGTTCCAGGTCTGTGCAGTGCAATCAACAGTGGTGGGGATCATGAAGTCGATCATGGACAGGGCGGTTCGAGCAGGGAGGCGTACCCACACCAGAGAGACGCGACTCCTATGAGTTGGAACAAAAGGCAATGATAACCACGGGGCTAGCTAGACTACCACTATAAGTACATTATACAACGAAGGTTTTGAGTAGTCATCATCCGACTCATGGGTGGCTGGTCGCTTTTAGTCGAAGCCCGGGGGAGCCTAGGCTAGCCGAGTAGAGGATCAAACAGATCGGGGAGGGTGTCATAGTCCCTCACAACCAAAGTTGAAAGATCTACTACTGCCAATTCTACATGTACGATGGACAGGCTGTGCGATGTCAGCAATACCATTGTCTGATTGGTTTGGGCGCTACACCACTAAGTACATGTAGCAGGGTCCGGAGGGCCGAATTCACCATCGCCATCCCGCTTCCGAGTCCCAGCCCTCAGGGCCTCGTCGCCAGTGTCTTCGAGCATGTCGTGGGCCTATGTGTGACTGTTCTATTTTGGAGCAAGTGTCCTTACCCTTGTAGGCGCACATGCACAAATCGCACACATTGTGTTCGTTTAACCAAGGCTATGGATGATGGCAGTGCAATCAGACTGCCACAAACACGAGACAGCAACGCCTGCGCTGCCCTTCCTAATTTCAGTCATATACTTACTGTATACATGTACATGTGGATGCGATTGCGTGGCTTCCATGCTATGCCAATACTAATCATAGTCACAGATGACGAGTTAACGACTACAGATTTCATCTGCCCGTGTGTGCTCACTTCCGCGCGACGTACATGGGGTTAAAGACTGCAAGTACAAAACGGCTATGATGTATTCCTGCGCGCGACGTCATAATGAGGTTATGTATCCATGTTTTGCCTGATGTGACCGTGTGACAATGTGTCTACGTCTACCGTTCGGCTGCGGGAGAGGCTATGCACGTATGGATCATGGACGCACCCTGCAAATATGCATAACACATAACCACGATAATTGTAACGATGCGCAATGAAACATGACACCGTGAAGTGCGATTTACGGTCATTGACCTGGTGATTTTGACGAGTTTAATTCTTCGAAACTACGTACCCGACCGATGCGATTTTTGTAAACACTCAAGTATGAGACACCCCTTTAGGCTTTACTTCCTTGAGAAGTAATAGTTGAGCTATCTGGCCACTTTATGTGTTGTAAGTCAGAGACTGAGACTGAGAGGAACTGTATATTTCTGTCAAGAGTGGTATTGGCCTTGACTTCAGAAGATATTGATGCCTGAAAAATTCACGGCATGATTTGTAGGCTGTCGAGTCTCGATCCCTTCTTTACCGCCCATCGACGTGTTACCGTGTGAAGATGCGCGTCATCATCACCGGTACTGCGGTAGAAGGAAGGTTAGCTGTACAGTAGTAGTGTAGACTGTAGATCTACTGGGCCCGGGTACGGGTGTAGATCTACTGGGCCCGGGTACGGGTGTAGATCTACTGGGCCCGGGTACGGGTGTAGATCTACCATGCAGTGTGTCTACCGCGCAAGTGCAGCAATGACTGCTGCTGAGTGCTGTACCGTGTGACCCCAAGCCAAGGCCAAGTCCTAACACCAGGGAGTCGTAAAAGCCCGGGAGAGGACACGGGATGCGCGCACGCGGACGATGTTTGCCTCGGCCAGAAAGTGAAGCACGCTAGGCCGGCGCGGCCGGATCTGCTCAATCCACGGCGCTGTGCTCGTTTTCAGGGCAGGGAGTCCTAAAATACCAATATTTTACGACTCGTTGTTGACACCATTATCCGAAACTGGTGGCGAAGGAAGCATAAACATGATTTTGTCAGACTCAGTACACATGGTACAGGGAGTGGGGAGTTGACAGTGTGTGTGTGTGTGGGGGGGGGGGGGGGCGTGTGTATGTGCACATGTGCTTGTACTTTTCTGTGTGTTTGCACAGTGTTTGTGTGTGTGTGTGTGTGTGTGCGCGCGCGCGCGTGCGTGCGTGCGCATTTTTGTGCACAATTCCGTTATGAAAAACAAATGATAGGTTTACCTTTTGTACACTCGCCAAGACTTCGGTTAGATTCACTGAGAACCTTTCTGGCCAACCTGGAGGCTGAGCCTTCCGTTTCCTAAACGGCTAAAGTCACCGCACCGCGTACTCAGTATACGAGTAGAAAAGTGTTGTAGATAGATAGGGAACACACATTGATTGTTTTTAAAAGAATCCAGGCAATATCATAAATCATGGAACGAGTGCGTAATAATGCTGTATGTTGCGTTTTGACGATGCTGAAGGAAGGGAGCTGTTGCGATTCACTCACAACACACACACTCGACTGCAATTTCAGTGCAATTTCTGACACAAGTTCATAAATCCACGAGTACGAGGAAGCTCAGCGGATCTCCACAAGAACTTTCGCCCATCACCTGCAATGGAATATGGGCTGTATGATATGACCAGCGGCTAACATGGGAAGTGGCGTCATTTTCCACAAATCTCGTTTCATTCACAACCATTTGACTGCAATTCAGTGCAATTTCTGCCACAAATTCAACTCCACGAGTACGAGGAAGCTCAGCGGATCTCAACACGAACGTTCGCCCATCACCTGCAATGGAATATGGGCTGTATGATACGACCAGCGGCTAACACGGGAAGTGGCGTCTCTTTCCACAAATCTCGTTTCATTCACAGCCATTTGACTGCAATTCAGTGCAATTTCTGCCACAAATTCAACTCCACGAGTACGAGGAAGCTCAGCGGATCTCAACACGAACGTTCTCCCATCACCTGCAATGGAATATGGGCTGTATGATACGACCAGCGGCTAACACGGGAAGTGGCGTCATTTTCCACAAATCTCGTTTCATTCACAACCATTTGACTGCAATTCAGTGCAATTTCTGCCACAAATTCAACTCCACGAGTACGAGGAAACTCAGCGGATCTCAACACGAACGTTCGCCCATCACCTGCAATGGAATATGGGCTGTATGATACGACCAGCGGCTAACACGGGAAGTGGCGTCATTTTCCACAAATCTAGTTTCATTCACAACCATTTGACTGCAATTCAGTGCAATTTCTGCCACAAATTCAACTCCACGAGTACGAGGAAACTCAGCGGATCTCAACACGAACGTTCGCCCATCACCTGCAATGGAATATGGGCTGTATGATACGACCAGCGGCTAACACGGGAAGTGGCGTCATTTTCCACAAATCTCATTTCGTTCACCCCAACTCAAATAAAAGTGAAGTACAATTAGGGATTTATCTTGCATTTCCATCGCCTCAGAATAAATTAACTTCGATAAACTGAGAGAGAATGAGTGAGGCAGCTGGAAGAATTGAGGATGAAAATAGAGATTAGAAGACTCGACGGAGAAATCGTCTCCGTGCTCTAAGATAAATCGGAGAATGTCCCAATTAGTATTTCAAGAAGACATCACAATTTTCGAAAATAATAATTTCCTTGCCTCGCTACACCGTTCCCTGGCGCAGCGTTCCCCGGCAGCGCGAGGCAAAGATGTTTTCTGGGAATGTGTGCCGTGTCCTCTCCCGGGCTTTCACGACTCCCTGCCTAACACCATGCTTGCGGCGCTGAAATACGAACCTCCGAAGTGTGGAGTTTAGAGGAGGACAGAATGAAGTCGTTCGTCTGCGAGCACAAGCACTGCAGTGCATTCTGTACTGCAGAGAGTAATTCAATCAGTTTAGGGAGTAGGGCAAGAGAGGACTACCGAGGATTAGCTGGCTCTGCTACAAGCGTCCACAGCTGGCTTGCAATGCTTTTAGGCGCTGCGCTGACAGGTGCACCATTGCCAGCATTGGCTCTTGCTCGTGCCGTCTCATTACCCATACGTGATTTGCTCACTGTCCGTCATGGCCTCGTGTTACAACTTGCCCTACATTCCCCAAGCTCATCCAAGCAGCTGCTGCATGGCGTGCCGTACCTCTGCCCAGGCCAGGGAGAGACGCTGCTGCCCTGCCGTCCAAGCCCTGTCAGACCAATTCGGCTGGGAAGAGCCTTGGAAGGACAGAGGACCAGAGACAGAGAACGGTGTTAGCGTTCGAAGCATTGCTGGACTCAGCCTCACCTTTTTCGGCTAGTCGATTATGTTTGTGGAGCAGTAGCGTGGTTGCTGTTTGACATAGTAGATGCTATGTTCTGGTGTTCGCAAGATGTGAGAAATATTTCGAAGGACGGATCGAAGACAAGGCAAGAGGTGCGTGTATTGAATGTGGCTGGTCCCAAATGTAGTGTTTCCCGTGTCCCCTTGTCGCTTGGACCATGAAACCGAGAAGGAAGGGTGGAAGTGGGTGCCTCGTAGGTGGTAGTGACTCGTGTTGTACGTGCACAATGGACGATAGGCGGAATACAACTGCTGGTGCTCAAAGACCGTGGATAGTTCGTGTACTTGTGGTTGTGACGTTGGCTGCCTGCTGCGGCTCATTGGACGGCGTAGGAGCGAGCCCTGTACGGATGAGAGTGGGACGTTCTGCAAAGTCAAAACGAGGGTTATGTGAGTACTCAGTACTTGCCGCTTTGGTAGGATTGATTGAGTGTTTGAGATTGGTGTAATGTCAAGGAGAAATAACTGTGCTGCAAGATGTACTTCTTTCTGACATTGCTTTAAAGCCGAGAGGAAAGTCTGGCTCAGGGGAAGTAATGACAGCCTACGTCATTATTCTGTTTCAACACTGCCATAGAATTATGACTGCTGTCATTTCTTGTCACTGCCTCCTCAATATTAAAACCCACAGGAGATGTGAAACACGTTCACCACACTTTTTCAGCTCCTTCATAAGCGGGGTAACGTTAGATGTAGTTTCTAATCTGGCTGAGGTGCAGTGCTGCACAGGTCATTATTGTTCTTGCTGGAGCATCCATACCTTATCCCCCCCCCCCCCCATCCCACTGTTCTAAATAATATTATATCAGCCTGCTGAGATATTGGAGACAGTACAGTCATGTATACTGATGGTGAGAGCTCCTGATGCTGGATGATGCTTAGTTTATATAATATCCTCTCCATAGGTAGTAGTAGACCTTTGATAGCTTTCTTATTGCGTGTATACTGTAACTAACTGTTTAGTGCAGTCCTTGTATGCATTAGACATAAATATGGAGGGGCTACCAGATGTGGTCATGTGTGTGTATGTGTGTGTGTGTGTGTGTGTGTGTGTGTGTGTGTGTGTGTGTGTGTGTGGTGTGTGGTGTGTGGTGTGTGGTGTGTGTATTGTATTTTTTGTATTGTATTGGGCATTCCCAACAGACCCTAAGGTCTTCTTACAGGGTGCCCAAGATGAATGAAATTGTTAAGTTCCTGGCGAAATGAATTGGGGATATGATTGGTGCGAAGGGATTCGGGAAGCGCATTAAAGCGGTCAGCACCAAGGAATGAAATAGATCTGTATCCAGCTTGAGCTTGCACAATGGGTAAGGAAAGGGAATAATTGACTTGGCCGCGGGTTACTCTATCTGTGTGAACGCAGTCACGGCGAAGGGAGAACATGTCAGAGAGGAGTGAACTGCAGATATTGTGGATGCAACGGAACACGAAGAATATGGACTGGACTACTGACAAGTAGGACTGCCTTCTGGCCTGGACAGCAAGGTTCCTCCTTCCACGTCGAAAAGCACCTAGTTTCTTTCCGATGTCTTCCCTGAGGGAGTTAACGTGGGCACTGAAACTTAAAGTTGAATCGAGAGTCAGTCCTAGATACTTAACTTCGTCAGACGGGGCGCAATAACAGTCGAACCACAGACAATGCTCAGGTTAGGTGGAGATGTGAGCGTCTGCTGTGGATCAGTAGTACTTGGCTCTTGCTGGAGTTCAGGAGCAGGCCGCGATCTGTGAGGTGCTGCTTCACCACTGAAAAATCGTCTTCTAAGTAAGACATGAGAATTCGTGGACACTTTCCAGAGGCATACAGGGTGGTGTCGTCTGCATAAAGAAGGCATTGGGAACGCAATGGCAGAGTGGGGACAAGTCGAGTGTAGATGCTGAAGAGGGTAGGGCCTAGGACGGAACCCTGGGGAACGCCCCTAGTGCAGGTTCTACAGTCACTTGTGGTTCCGTTCACTTCTACGCGTTGCTGTCGGTGAGACAGATACGACTTGAACCACTCAAGAGCATTTCCACGGATCTTCAGATTGTGAAGGTCATCTATTAACGTTTGGTGGTGGACGCGGTCAAAGGCTTTGCTCATATCGAGCAGCAGTACGGCCGTATAGTCTCCGGTATCCATGCTTCTCTGCCAGTTATTGATGGCAAGTGTTAAAAGGTCCTCAGTACTGTGGTTCCGCCTGTATGCAAACTGTTCATTTGGAATTGCTCCGGGTGTGATGTCCAGATGGTCATGAAGCTGCTGGAGCACTAGTGATTCCAAGACTTTGGAGATAATGGGCAGTAGCGAGACTGGGCGATAGCTGGAACTGTCGTAGGGGTCGCCTTTCTTAAACACTGGACACACAGACGCTAGTTTGTAGGCTGACGGTACCTTTCCGCTAGACAATGACTGGTTGAAGATGGAAGTTAAGGAGTTGGCCAGCTCGACGGCATGGTGTTTCAAGATGTAAGCTGGTATGCCGTCTGATCCAGATGCTTCCGTGGCATTCAATCGTTCGAGAATCTTCGTTACTGCTGCTGTTGTAACGGGTTGGAACTCAAGAAGGCAGTTGTCTAAACAGTCGTCCGCCGGAGTGTCTGGGGTCGTAAGAGCAGTGCGGTGCTCATCATGGACGATATTGCCTAGGGTATCTGACAAAGATGAGAGGGAGGCTTTCGGTGTGGGGTGGGGTTTTCTCCTTCCAGTTGATTCAGCACTGCCCATTGGAGTCTAGGATTTCCTGTAGCGGCACTGAACTTATCTTTGTAGTACACACTTTTCAGTTTGCGGTTTAGTAAAGTTCCTTGACGACGTATTGCACGATACTGCTGTCGGAGGCGGTCATCCATGGGGTGCTTTATTAAGGCGCGGTGGGCTGAGCTTCGTCGATGAAACATCTGTTTCAGCTCTGGGGTGACCCAGGGCTGGGGGGCGGGGTTTGGAGTAAGCTGCGCACTTCTGGGTAACGAATGGTGCAAGATCATCTAGTACTGTCATGACACTTTGTTGCCAGTGGCTTGCCGCTGCATTTAGAGTATAACCGCCGGATACATCTGAGGGGTCAAGGATGTGTATGAGAGCTGCAGACGTTACACTACGGTCAAGGTGAGCCAGGCTAGGTTGGCGTCTTCGAGAGAATTGCTCGTGTGGCTGTTCAAAGTTGGCTCTACTAACACGGACAGAGAGGCCAATAAGATGGTGGTCGGACAGGCCATCGACGCTGTGAACAAATGTACTATGAAGAGACATGGGAGAGGGAGACGGAGCAGCCGTTGTCATTGTTGTCGGTATGAGTGCAAGGTCTAGGCATGACTGACTAGGAACTCTGGTGGGCTGTAGTATGACGTTTTGTAAGCTGTGGTCAGCGCAGAGGCCTTGTACATAGCAGGCGTTTGGGTGAGGTGGGACAGAGAGCATGTTGACGTTGTAATCACCGAGGAGGAGGATGTCCGGACATGTTGCGGAGGCCATCTGCACGCTATTATTGAGCTGGTCCCAGAAATTCACATGGCTGCCGGGAGCACGGTATACGCAGCCGATGGATAGAAATGGATTAGTTCGGCTATGCGTGTGCAACCCAACGAATATTGTCTCTAGCCTGTCGTTTACTTGAAGCTGCCTGGATTTCAGTTGTTCCTGCACATACATAGCAACGCCGCCACCCTTTCTGCGATCAGCTTGGTCCCGGCGATAGAGAGTGTAGGCTGGTATAGCAAGATCGCAATTCATCACAGTAGAGTCCAAGCATGTTTCACTGATTGCTAGCACATCGATTCTGTACTTGTACATTATGCAATGGATTTCATGAGTTTTATTTCTTAGGCTACAGATGTTGATTTGGGCGATGGTTAAGCTCTTGATGGGTGAAGACGGACAATCAGGCACTGTTTGACTGGATGGATAGTTACAAGGATTTCTTAAAATGTTAGGTGCTGGGTCAGCGACGACATCTGCTGCTCGGAGATGAGGTGGAGTAGCTGTGTGTGTGTGGTCCAACCTGTCGGAAGGCTGCCCTCTTGCCAAAGCACTTTAGAAGTTGGACTGGTTTCGGCTCCACAATCCAGTGTGTCGTTACTATATAGCTTTCATGGCTGAGGTTGCTGGTACGTCTGTTGGCCCTGGGTTCCCAGTACCCAGTTGCCGAGGCTGGTTGGTAGAATAACTCCAATTTCACTTCAAGGTACCAGTGCATCTAAAGTCTGCTTTTATCAAAGCAGCGTGCTGTCTATACTGGTTACCCCAGCAAGTGTAGCCGGGGTGCATAGGTAGCTGTCTTGGCCGTCCTATTCCGATGTACTCCGTGTGGTGTAGACCAGGTGTGCATTGGGGGGCTGATTCACATGGCTTCGCCAGTTGTGTGGATTAGACATTTACTTGGAGCTTGTCTTGATCTGTTTCAATCAGAATCAGAGCCGCTATCATTGCTATAAAGAGAAAATCTGTGGGTGCACATCCAGTGCATTTGCAGATTTGCGTGCTTCTCTTGCGACGGGCGTATACATGGTACATGGTGTGTGTGTGTGTGTGTGTGTGTGTGTGTGTGTGTGTGTGTGTGTGTGTGTGTGTGTGTGTGTGTGTGTGTGTATGGTGTCCCATATGGTGCAGTGGTATGTGCAGTCGATTTCAATCGAGAGGTTGCGGGTTCAGTTCCCAACGATTATGGTCGCACACGTCTTTCTTCTCTTTCTCATTCTCCTACTTCTTCTTTCATTCTCCTGGGTGGTTACCAACAGCCAGTGTATGCCGGAGCATGTGGTGTGGTGTGTGTCGAAAAAAATAATGGGAAAATGGAAAAAGAAAAATGAAAAATAGGGATTCACTGGCCAGATAAAGCCACTTCAATCAGCTGTGTGGTGGATACCAGGCTAACAATTAGTGGCGGTCAATTCATCAGCCTTGCAAGCTGGTGAATGGTGTAATCCCAGCACAAGTTGCTATGTCTAACATAACTGTTCGCTATCATCGCTTCCGCGATGGGCAGGTCTGAGGTGTGTATTGGGGGGGGGGGGGGGTGTCTATGTGTCTGTGGGTGGGTGTTGCATGAAGTGACATGTCCTGTTCTCTACGTGTGGTCAACGTGCAGATATCCAATGGCCGCTGAAAGCTCCAAAGTCCAATCCGTTCAACACGGCTAAGAAATGCTCGACGTTACAACCTCCCGGCGGCAATGCAGTGGGTGCACCGGGCGCAGTGCCATCGGCGGCATCACTGCTACAAACACACCCACCGCCTGCACACTTCAACAACCAGCAATACCCAGCCAGTCAGTATGCGGATCCAGTACCGCCCGCACAAGGTGGTCAGGCACCACCGCCAGCAGCCGGTGCTGAGCCACCACCGGCAGACCCAGTGCCCGTAGATCCAGGCGCGGCGCCGGAACCAGTCAGTTTCAGGAACCAGTCAGTCATTTTCTCGCGCTAGTTAGGGTCTAAATTATTACTTGCATTGTGCGTATATATATTGAGTTAAGAGCTATTGTTGATTTGCCAGTAATCCTCTGATGAGATGGCGACGAAAACGTTTAGGAACAAGCTTCTTTATTTACATGAAAACAAGTTTTGCTAATGGTGTTTGTACTGAGTGCGCAGCTTACTCTATGTATTGCGTTGAATAATAATAATAATAATAATAATAGTAGTGACTATCGACTGTATTTTCGTTGAATGGCGTGAAAAAACACAAAAATCGGAAAATGAGTAGGGGGGGGGGGGGGGCGGCACTTTTTCACAGGGGGACACGCAAACGGAGTAGGGGGGCGCTGCCCCCCCCCCCCCCTACCCCCCTTTGGCTAGAACCCTGATGAGGCATGCAATCTATCAGTGTCTAGTAGTGACTATCGACTGTATTTTCGTTGAATGGCGTGAAAAAACACAAAACTCGGAAAATGAGTAGGGGGGGGGGGGGGCGGCGCTTTTTCACAGGGGGGCGCTGCGCCCATAGCTATGTGTATGCCAACAACAGAGGCATCATGTGTTGTGTTGTGTTGTGTACCGGTATGTGCATCTACAGGAGGACTCTACCTTGGAGAAAGGTGCAGAAAAGCTAAGGCGGTGGAAAGCATCACTGTAAGATGGCAGGTGATGTACACAGCCCCCCCCCCCTCCATCATGTACTCTGTTGACAACATACTCCAAATTCTAATCATAGCAACGAAATACGAATTCCGACTCCCAAAAGCTATTCATAACGTTTCACTCTTCATACAATCAAATCATTTTTCTGTAGCATTTCACATGTAGCCTCCATTGATCACATTGGATCTGTCAACCTGTTCTCCAATACTGAATCTTCATTTGAGTTTAGGACTTCACAATCATAGGAGTAGAGTCATCTCTGATAGGCAAGGTTTCTCCGATTCACAAAGCCTAAGTCTAGTGTGTCGGGTCATCGTCAAGGCAACACACAACACTGTCATTGGCCTGTAGGGCCTGGGTGATGTTTTTTTCACTGAATCATATTAATTTTCTCCTCAAGATGTGACTGTATCTTGTTTTTATTCTCCTATTTCTCATGTTCTAGTTTTAGCCAGGATTGTCTGGGTGTACGTGTAGTTCGAAACAGATTTGTCACAATTCTAATTTCCTATAGCAGGAGCATTTTTGAGTACCGCATTTGGTGACTCACTTCCTCTGTCCATTAAATACTGCCTTAGAAGTGGCAGTCTTGCACAATGTGTTCAAGTGCCTTGTGTATGTTTGCTGCCTATGATGGCCGTATGAAGTGTTTTGGAATACTTTGCTTGTACCAGTATACAAGTATCGGCAATGAACCGTTATAGTGCCATGTGTGCTTAGAAGATCTGGCTATCACCAGTCGCTGGAGTGCCATTACGGAGGTTTCGCTCTACGGAATTCCGTATGAAAATAACGTAGGAACTGCATGGAATTTTCATACGTAAAAATCAGAGCTGTTGGGTTTCGCTCTATGTGATTTCTCCACGAATGCTAAACATGCGTTGTTGCTTTGGAGACGCGTTGGCTGCATGCGCCCACCGCATGCACCGTGAACCGAAACCGCATTTTCACGTGGCGTACGGTGTGTGTACCGTGTGTTCCGCGCGGCTTGAACGTTGCCATGGACAAATGCGGAAAATGTGAAAAATATTTCAAGAAGTCCTACCGAGGACCCAACGTAGCCTCGCAGGAGAGAGCTTTCCTACGGAAATCCGTAGAGAGATTTACGTATGAAAGTTGCCCTCGCTCCCCGGCGCGTATGACATACGGATTTTCATACGTCATTACGTAGAGCGAAACCTCCCTATCAAGGTGTCCCGGGTGCCATGACTGGGACGGCCAGGTAGCGTGGTCAGGAGGGTGGCAGTGGTACGCGGTGGGTGGCAATGGCAGCAGCAGCGGTGGTGGTGGTGGCAGGGATGCATAGCTCAGCCTCTCTGGCTGACAGCAGGGTCATAAGTATGGCGATGTGAGATGCTTCTAGTGAAACAGCCCACTAACCGCAGGTTACAACTTTTATAGCATGTATCGCTGGGGCAAAGACAGATGATTGAAGAAGCACCAACGATTGAATAACACCAGTCATGTGTAACTTCGTGAAGCTCACGCTTTAAAACTGCCGAAGTCGCTACTTCCTGCAACTAAGTTGAAGTTCGTGTGTAACATTTCTGATTTGCGGCTACAAAGGCATGTCACAGCATCATTTGCAACACAATGACTTGTCATGATGATCGGAGGAATCATTAGCTTTCAGTTTATTCCCCAGTGGTCCATTATCTCCCTAGGCCCCTCCCCTCCATCATTGCAATGCTGTATCAGTGTATGCTGCACGCATGCAATCGCTGGGCCTGGTACGGGCAAAACTGAATTGCAGCTCAGTCTTGAAAAAATCGGTAGGAACTCTAAAACCAGAAAAATAATAATATGCAGCGCAAAATAAAGAGAAGGAAGAATATCCGGTCAAACGCTAAATACAAAACATACCAAATGATACATGTACAGAGAACGGGGAAGGCCGGGGGGGGGGGGGGAGGGGGGAAACAGACAGGTTGCCTACACTACAGCCTGTACAGATGACACTCGGAGACAGCAAGTGTGGCAGAGCTGCAGAGGGTCATAATTATAGGGTCAGAGGGTCATGAGGGTCATATCTGCTCGACTTGTGGCGATGCCCACGATCGTACGAAGGCATGCCACAGCCGCCTTCACAAGAGCAAAGGACAGCTGGGCTCTGATCAAAGGCTGACAAAGCCATTGCCACAGAGAATGGCTCACTGTTCTTCTCAGACTTGATGCCTGCAATGCGGCCAAAGAGGGTGGAGGCTGCCTTCCCTTGGCCACCAGTCGTACTGAATACCACGGGGATGAAGGAGGCGTGCTCTATGTTGATGATGCGACTCTCGTAGCTCCTCCTTTTCTCCTCTTTATGCTTTCAGTAGCTGCCAGCGATCGTTGGTTTCCGATTTGAGGGGACAAATGGGTTGAAAACCCGGACATCTAAAAAAGGTCCTCTCAAACCGTCCACCATGTAGACCGCTGACAACTACATCCAGCCGAGCTTGTTCTGCCGTGATGGTGGACCGCAGGGGAAAGCGCTCACCAGTCACAGGCTGGAGGTGCGGCTCAACATGAACATCATGTGCGACGTCGCGTAGCAGTGTTGCTGTTAGATCTTGGACCTCGTTGTGCCGTAGCGAGGGATAACCACCGATGGCACATGACATGGCATGGGTGGTCGAGAATGGTTTTCCACACGCGCATGTTGCAGGTAAGCGAGCAGGACCCCATCCATACCTGAGGCATTATGGCATCGCGGAAGGCACCCTTGTGCAGGGTGAAGCCATGCCTCCGATGGCCGACATGTCAGCCAAATAATAATTGATGCGCCTTTCTCAGAGGCGAGCTGTAGGGTGCGCTGGAGGTCTGGCTCGAGTTGGCTCATCAGGGTGACGACATGGTCCTTCTCCTTCTTTCCAGCGGTTGTCGTAGCTGTTGCCTTCAGTGCCCGCATCTGCCCTGATCCTGATGCTATGCTGTACTCGCGCACATGTACAATGTCAATGTACTTCCAAGTACAGTGTACAGCGCTAGCATACATCTACAGTCATAACTCAATCAGCTGCTATGCATGCTGTACTGCTATTTTTTATGTACTACTATGATGTACTGTGATGTAGCCGATAGTGCGGTCTCTGTACGTCTGTTCGATCCGTTCTGGTGCTGTCACGTCGCTTGACAGTTTTCCTTCCTGGTTGCTTGGCTGACCTGTCAACGTCAATGTTTAGTTTGGTATCAACAGACTCAGTAATACTAAAGCGGCACTATCACGTGCAGGCAGCTAGAGAATGTGACGCCAGATGAAATCCAACCCCTACACAGCTGAGATCCAGGCCAGGGATCACTTTGGCCCTGTAGCCGTGACCACTATTCAGTGGTGCCAGGTGAAGTCCAACCCCGGAAGCTTACATGTATGTAGTTGAGAGCCAGGTGTTGGATTTCACCTCGTAGCACCATGCCACTGTTCATACACCCGATCAGGACTGATGATCCCATTCTTCTTCGAAGCTTCTCTTCTGAACTCGATCTGTTCAAGTAAGTAGATCTACCCCTCTGCTGTATGAGTGCTGGGTGGATAACGCAACGGTGAGGTGCTCGCTACAAACAGCTTGCATGCTCAGGCTATGTGTATGCACCATGATGTACCGTCTCCCTCACGGCCTCAGTCTGAGGTTCCGTTGTTCTCACTTTCAGTTGTGGCAGTTGGGCTTGTGTCTCTCGCTGTCTCACTGCAATCAGCACCTGTCTGCCTCTCTTGTATTATTCAGTGACTACTACACTAACTTGTAGTATGATCAAAGCGCACATACACGTACATGTACATGTACATACTGTAAGATGTGGCCTGATGTGTGTGGTGTAGAGAGCGCGGTCGCCAGCATGCACCGCCCTTGCTAGCGGAGTAGCTTCTCTTGTACATGTATTAGTGACTACGTAGTACTGGGTGTACATGTAGGTGTTCATCCCGGACTTCGAGTTTCTGTAAAACGCCGGACACCCTACATTGTATTTCGAACATACATGTACATGCATATGTAGACGTTAGAACAGTTGGGTGCAAATCCAACTTCTGTGCGACGAACATGCAGGAACTTACATTCCCTTACGCCCTTAGGATACTTTCTTCAGTTTCTTGGGACAAAAAAATTCAGGTTCGTCGAGTGCAATCAAGTGTAAGTAAGCTACTTACATGTATATGCTCTTGGTGCAATCAACAACGGTGTGTGTGAATCACGAAGTCGATCATGGACAATTAACTTGTTACATTCAATTTCTCATTTTTCATTCGTGTTGGGTTTAACTATTCACTGTACTGATTATTATTATTCTTTCATTCCGCGATGGCGTGACGCCAATAAGGATGATTGTTAAGTGCGTTAGAACTGGTACTAGCCAGAAACAACTAGATGGAAATTAACCGGGGAGGCAAGAAGCAATGGATCATGAAAAACAAGCGGGGGGCAATAACGTTAGCAGGGGTGATCGAGATAGTCAGTACACGTTCGAGATATCAGAAACCAGGGGGATGCGCGGAGCAGGAGCAGGTACTGCTCAAAAGAAGATTGGATGCATTGTTTCGGAAAGAATTTCTGATACATGGTGATGATTGTGCTTCGCTTTACCCGTAAAAGAGGTCTTTTCGACGATTACAAGGCGGTTAGAACTGGGTGACGCACCCACACCAGCCACATCAGACAAGACTCCCATGACTCATGAGTTGGAACAAAAGGCAATGATAAACACGGGCTACTACTGAAGTAGTAGCTAGACAACCACTACACGTACATTATACAGCGATGGTTTTGAGTACAGTCATCATCCGATTCGTGGTTGCCTGGTCGTTTAGTCGAAGCTTACTGGGCTAGCCGAGTCGAGCATCAAACAGATCGGGGAGGGTGTCATCATGGTTCCTCACAACCAGCGATCTACTTCAAGTACAGTAAATTATTCGTAGATGGACCGGCTAAGCAATGTCAGCAATACCGTTGTCTGATTGGTTTTGGCACTAGACCACTAGTAGATCTCCATGTAGCAGGGTCCGGAGGGCCGAATTCACCATCTTACTGGCTGAATTCACCATCTTACTGGCTGAATTCACCATCTTACTGGCTGAATTCACCATCTTACTGGCTGAATTCACCATCTTACTGGCTGAATTCACCACCGTCATACCGCTTTCGAGTCCTAGTACTTGTTCACCAGTGTCTTCGAGCAGATACTTATATCAAGCCAAATTGAAATGGCTCTTGCATGCCACGGGTATGTGCGACTGTTTATTTTGGAGTGAATATCCTTACCCTTGCAGGCGCACATGCACAAACCGCACACATTGTGTTCGTCACGTTTACCAAGGCTATGGATCTCATGGATGATGGAAGTGAAATCAGACTGCCACAAACACCAGACAGCAGCGCCTGCGCTGCCCTTCCTCATTTCAGTCTTACAGTTACCTTGGTTACTGTATAGATGTAGATGCTTCATAATTCCACGCCATGATGGTATACTAATGCGAATACCAATATAGTCACGGATGACGAGTGAACGACTACATATTTCATCTTCCCGTGTGTGCTCACTTGTGCGCGACGTACATGGGGTTAAAGATTGCAAGTACAAAACGGTTGTGAAACTAGCGTGTTACTTGTGATGTATTCCTGCGCGCGACGTCATAATGAGGTTATGTATCCATGTTTTGCCTGATGTGACCGTGTGACAATTATGTGTCTACGTCTACGTCTACCGTTCGCCTGCAGGAGAGGCTATGTACGTATGGATCATGGACGCGCCCTGCAAATATGCACATTAGTCATTACTGACTGTGATAATTATAGTCATGTGCAATGAAAACATCACACTGTGAAGTGCGATTTACGTTCACTGATTGGTGATTTTGACAAGTTTTATTCTTCGAAAGATCGATGGGATCCGGGAGCCTAGAGACACCCCTAACTAACTTACTTGAGCTATATCTGGCCCGTCTTTATGTTGTAGGGTAGAGACTGAGTGAGACTGAGTGAGACTGAGTGAGACTGAGAGGGATTGTTTATTTCTGTCAAGAGTGTTATCATGGTTATTGGCCGTGACTTCAGAAGATTTTGATGCCTGAAAAATTCACGGCATGATTTGTAGCCTGTTGAGTCTCGATCCCTTCTTTCCCGCCCATCGACGTGTTGCCGTGTGAAGATACACGTCATCACCGGTACTGCGGTAGAAGGAAGGCTAGCTGTAGTGTAGATTGTAGTCTGTAGTGTAGATCTACTGCAGTCTGCAGTACTGGGCCCGGGCGTAGATCTACCATGCTGTAGTGTAGATCTACATAACTACCGCGCAAGTGCGACAACGACTGCTGCTGAGTGCATGCTGTACCGTGTGACCCCAGGCCGAGGCCCAACACAACCCTTGGCCTTGCGGCGCTGAAATACGAACCTCCGAAGTGTGGAGTTTAGAGGAGGACACAATGAAGTCGTTCGTCTGCCAGCACAAGCAGTGCATCTGTACTAGAGATTAATTCAATCAGTTTAGAGAGTTGGGCAGAGGGGACTACCGAGGACTGGCTGGTTCTGCTACAAGCGTCCACAGCTGGCTTGCAATGCTAGTCGGGTCGCTTTTAGTCGCTGCGCTGACAGGTGCACCGTTGGCTCTTCCTCGTGCCGTCTCATTACCTATACGTGATTTGCTCACTGTCCGTCATGGCCTCGTGTTACAACTTGCCCTACATTCCCCAAGCTCATCCAAGCAGCTGCTGCATGGCGTGCCGTACCTCTGCCCAGGCCAGGGAGAGACGCTGCTGCCCTGCCGTCCAAGCCCTGTCAGACCAATTCGGCTGGGAAGAGCCTTGGAAGGACAGAGGACCAGAGACAGAGAACGGCGTTAGCGTTCGAAGCATTGCTGGACTCAGCCTCACCTTTTTCGGCAAGACGGTTATGTTTGTGGAGCAGTAGCGTGGTTGCTGTTTGACCTAGTAGATGCTGTGTTCTGCTGTTCGCAAGATGTGAGAAGTATTTCGAAGGACGGATCGAAGACAAGGCGAGAGGTGTGTGTATTGAAACTAGCTGGTCCCAGATGTAGTGTTCCCCGTGTCCTCGTGTCGCTTGGACCATGAAACCGAGAAGGAAGGGTGGAAGTGGGTGCCTCGTAGGTGGTAGTGACTCGTGTTGTACGTGCACAATGGACGATAGGCGGAATACCACTGCTGGTGCTCATAGTCCGTGGATAGTTCGTGTGCTTGTTGTTATGACGCTGGCTGCCTGCTGCGGTTTATTGGACGGCGTAGGAGCGAGCCCTGTACGGATGAGAGTGGGACGTTCTGCAAAGTCCAAACGAGGGTTATGTAAGTACTTGCCGTAGTGGTAGGACTGATTGAGGATTTGAAATTGGTGTAATGTCAAGGAGAAATAACTGTGCTGCATGTACTACATAGCTGGCATTGCTTTAAAGCCGAGAGGAAAGTCAGGCTCAGGTGAAGTGATGACAGCCTACTTCAGTATTCTGTTTCAACACTGCCATAGAATTATGACTGCTGTCATTTCTTGTCACTGCCTCCTCAATATTAAAACCCACAGGAGATGTGAAACACGTTCACCACACTTTTTCAGCTCCTTCATAAGCGGGGTAACGTTAGATGTAGTTTCTAATCTGGCTGAGGTGCAGTGCTGCACAGGTCATTATTGTTCTTGCAGGAGCATCCATACCTTATCCCTCCCCCCCCCCCCCCATCCCACTGTTCTAAATAATATTATATCAGCCTGCTGAGATATTGGAGACAGTACAGTCATGTATACTGATGGTGAGAGCTCCTGATGCTGGATAATGCTTAGTTTACATGTCCTCTCCATAGGTAGTAGTAGACCTTTGATCGCTTTCTTATTGCATGTATACCGTAACTAACTGTTTAGTGCAGTCCTTGTATGCATTAGACATAAATATGGAGGGGCTACCAGATGTGGTCATGTGTGTGTGTGTGTGTGTGTGTGGTGTGTGTGTGTGTGTGTGTGTGTGTGTGTGTGTGTGTGTGTGTGTGTGTGTGTGTGTGTGTGTGTGTGTGTGTGTGTGTGTGTGTGTGTGTGGTGTCCCATATGGTGCAGTGGTATGTGCAGTCGATTTCCAATCGAGAGGTTGCGGGTTCAGTTCCCGACGATTATGGTCGCACACGTCTTTCTTCTCTTTCTCATTCTCCTACTTCTTCTTTCATTCTCCTGGGTGGTTACCAGCAGCCAGTGTATGCCGGAGCATGTGGTGTGGTGTGTGTCGAAAATAATAATGGAAAAATGGAAAAAGAAAAATGAAAAATAGGGATTCACTGGCCAGATAAAGCCACTTCAATCAGCTGTGTGGTGGATACCAGGCTAACAATTAGTGGCGGTCAATTCATCAGCCTTGCAAGCTGTTGAATGGTGTAATCCCAGCACAAGTTGCTATGTCTAACATAGCTGTTCGCTATCATCGCTACCGCGATGGGCAGGTCTGAGGTGTGTATTGGGGGGGGGGGGGGTGTCTATGTGTCTGTGGGTGGGTGTTGCATGAAGTGACATGTCCTGTTCTCTATGTGTGGTCAACATGCAGATATCCAATGGCCGCTGAAAGCTCCAAAGTCCAATCCGTTCAACACGGCTAAGAATGGCTCGACGTTACAACCTCCCGGCGGCAATGCAGTGGGTGCACCGGGCGCAGTGCCATCGGCGGCATCACTGCTACAAACACACCCACCGCCTGCACACTTCAACAACCAGCAATACCCAGCCAGTCAGTATGCGGATCCAGTACCGCCCGCACAAGGTGGTCAGGCACCACCGCCAGCAGCCGGCGCTGAGCCACCACCGGCAGACCCAGTGCCCATAGATCCAGGCGCGGCGCCGGAACCAGTCAGTCCGGGATCGTCGGCAGTGAACCCATACTTTGACCACTACGCTGGTAGGCCACCGGGTTCCTTTTATGGCGGTGGTCCACAGGGTCATGGCCAGGGTCCCGGCGGCGGCGGCCAGGGGAACATGCGACCCACATACAGCCGCTTCTCCAGGTATCAGTCTGCGCATCATTTTGATCCCAGCGTGCCGAACGTCAGCTATTACGTCCTGTCTCAGGTCTGGCCCAACGGTCACTGCATGACGGCCGGGCGCAACCCATGCCAGGAACTCAACTACGAAGCAGACCTCTGGATACTCCGCGGCTTCTGGCCGGCGATTGCCCGTGGCGATAAGCACGTCAGCTTCTGCCGTGGCACTGCACTGCGGCCGCTGTACCGGCGAGCCTATCCGTCCGAGGGCAGGCTGTTGAACCTGATCGACGACCCGACTCTCATTGAGCTGTCCAGAGTCTGGCCCAATCTGGACTTCACTCCCAACGCCGAGCAGAAGTGGTCACGAGAGTACCGACGTCACGGCGTCTGCTCGCCATTCAGCACTGGCGTGTACTTCCACACGGCTATAGATCTTCATGCTCGCTATAACCTGTTCAGAGTATTAGAGGAGTCGCGCATCTACCCGGACGATATGTACACGTACAAGGCGACCGAGCTGCACCAGGCCATCATCGACGGCACGGGGTTTCGTGCCGCACTGTACTGCCGACGCAAGCAGATCAAGGATGCCACGCAGTCGGTTTGGGTCAACGTGCTGTACGAGGTGCGCATGTGTCTCGACACGGATCTCATGCCCATGAACTGTCCAGCCTTCGATATCCGTGCCGACCTGAGCGTGCTTGGTGGCAAACCACTGCCCTGTTACAATGACGTCTTGTATCCCAACTATCATTATGCCGATCCTGTGGCGGAGGGGGCAGAGCAAGCAGCTGGTAAGAACGCAACGTCCGTCATACAGGTGAAGCCAGTCGTCCAGCTGCCGGCTAGCTACATGCTACCCGACGGTCGCATTGTTCAGGCTCAGCCGGTCGCACCTGGTACACCGGCTGCGGGTCAACCTGGCCAAGTCGTGGTGGTCCCGGGTAGAGAAGGTCTGCCTGCTTTCAATGCAACCAAGCCAGGCGGCGGCAGTATTACCAAAGTGGGTACAACACCCTCGCCTGACACACACAAAAAGATCAGTATCAACCATCCCGACCTGCCCAACCGTCTGGTCATACACGTTCCCAGACAGCGTATTCCCATGGCCAATCGGCCGAGCGGTGCGGCTAGAGTGCGTGCTCCCGTTCTGCCCGGCGGGAATAGCTATGCACCACCGGGCAATGTCCAGTATCCCGCGCAGAGACCCTACCCGGAGGCTTTCGCCGGCGCACGGGACGCAGGCCTTCCTGTCGTTCACACCATTCACCACCGCGGCAAACAGATCCAGTCAGCGAATGGACCACCTCCGGGTGCCGCGGCGCACACTGATCCCATCTTGCAGCAGCCGATTGTGCCTCGTCCTGGATTCAAGGAGATACGCCGGCCAGGTGCCCCTCCCAGCGCCGCAGATCGTGTTGCCGTGTCGGCAGTACCGGCTGTCAATGTCCGAGATGGCCTTCCCCAGCCCAGGTCCACCCACCCAATGCAAGTCCCCGGCGCCAAGGATGCCCCCGCACAGTCGGGCAGCTCACACGCTGCTCCGGGACAGAGTGCAGATAAAGCACCAACGATCAATGTTGTCATTGGTGATCCACCAGCAGCGGCCCCTCAGCAGAAGCCCCCACCCCCTCCCGCTGCAGATCCCAGCGGACCGGACGTTCACATTGTTCTGAAGGGTCCGCCAACACCTGAACAGGCACAGCAGCTGATCACGCTCAAGAAGAAGAAGCTGGCTGGCGCTAGTGCTAACTCAGCTCCGGCGCGTTGATCTCTCAGCCATCATGATCATCCTCATCCTCATCATCATCATCATCATCCTCATCAACTTTGGTGACTACTGTACCCTATGTGCTGAACAACAGACTACACAAAAGCAGCAGCAGCAGCAGCAGTTGTTGATTTTTGACAATTTGCCCACAGACACACCGGGTGAATATTGACACCAGTGTAAAGTTTACCTGTGCGAAATGTCTGCCCACGACATGCCCCTTGCTTTGCAGATCGTCCAAGTATTTTCTGATATCCATGCTTGCATGCAAGACCAGTATCGATCGTTCACGACTGCGTTTCATTCGCACAGCAGCTGAAAGCCCTGCACACGATACGCACAGACCCCCCCCCCCCCACACACTCTCTGACTGCCGTACACACACAGGCCAAACTACGAGTTCCAAAGTAGAAGAAGGCACTTACATTTCTGTACAATGAAAGCAAAAAATTATATACTTTTTTTACATGCTGAGATGGCAGCTTTGATATAAACACAACTTAAACATACAAAGTAATTTTAAACACCCTAATTCCACTCCGATAGATTCTACGATATCGTTATGATGACTACTACCTAGTGCAGTCGATCATCACAGTCAACTGGGTATCGTGCAGGGTGGATGCACATGTTTGATCAGCGATCAGTTCCAATGATACCAATGCAAGATAAAAGAAGCGGGTTAAGAGAAGAGGTGAGCAAGAGTGTGCAAGTGTGTGTGTGTGTGTGTGTGTGTGTGTGTGTGTGTGTGTGTGTGTGTGTGTGTGTGTGTGTGTGTGAGGGACCGGGCGAAAATGACAACAGGGTATGGAAGGTCTCCTACAAAACAGTTTAATTTTTTGCTTAGTAAATAGGGTATAATGGCTTTAAAACCACTGAAATAGAAAATAATACTTCGAAGTAGAAAAGCAGAAGAGTAATTGGGGAGCTCTTAGGAAGTGGGTTTGTCAGAGAGCAGAGAGATTCACAAAAGCCTAGTGTGACAACTACAAGGAAGTGAGTGACTCAGTGCTGTCGGTAAATACAGCACATGACGGTGTTCGGTATCTACCGGAAACTGCATGTAGTGTATGTACCGACTAACCGGCCCTTACGGCAATAGCTCAGTGAAGCAAGTTGCCAGTCTGCCCAAGAGAACAGCAGACTACCAGGGTTGGTTACTGAATAGGATCACTGGCGTGGATGCTAGTTAACAGCAAATGCTGGGTAACGGCAGAAAGCTATGGGCTATGGGCTGCATCCAAACTGATGCTGGCGAGTTAGATCGTCCTCGAGGTCCCGTAGCGTGTGTCTGGGGGAGGATGGGAGTGGTGCAACTGTTTCCCACCAGAATTCAACATGCCACGCTGGCATCACGGAAAAGTAGTTTTTTTTAAGCTCAATTTCTTTCCTGGCATCAAAGTTCATGAGTCACATCAACGGCAGCGGCATCCGCTGTAGTTACTAGTATCCTATACTGGTGTGTGCATAGCCTATACTGGTGTGTGCATAGCCTATACTGGTGTGTGCATATGTATACTGGTGTGTGCATATGTATACTGGTGTGTGCATAGCCTATACTGGTGTGTGCATAGCCTATACTGGTGTGTGCATATGTATACTGGTGTGTGCATATGTATACTGGTGTGTGCATAGCCTATACTGGTGTGTGCATAGCCTATACTGGTGTGTGCATAGCCTATACTGGTGTGTGCATATGTATACTGGTGTGTGCATATGTATACTGGTGTGTGCATATGTATACTGGTGTGTGCATAGCCTATACTGGTGTGTGCATATGTATACTGGTGTGTGCATAGCCTATACTGGTGTGTGCATAGCCTATACTGGTGTGTGCATATGTATACTGGTGTGTGCATATGTATACTGGTGTGTGCATAGCCTATACTGGTGTGTGCATATGTATACTGGTGTGTGCATAGCCTATACTGGTGTGTGCATAGCCTATACTGGTGTGTGCATATGTATACTGGTGTGTGCATATGTATACTGGTGTGTGCATAGCCTATACTGGTGTGTGCATAGCCTATACTGGTGTGTGCATATGTATACTGGTGTGTGCATATGTATACTGGTGTGTGCATAGCACCACCAATCACTATACTAAAGTTAGCCAAGCTGAATTATCTGCCTTGAACTGATCGTACCGGTTATGCTCCCGTTCGCCACCATGCATGCTCTTAGCTATAGATCATCATAGGCCCTCCAAGCACCGAAGCCGTCATTCCTGTACGTCACCACATCATCACCGTCCGTATCGTCATAGTTACGCCGCGCCAGGTTGCTCATCTGCAAAGAATCGCACATGGTCCAAGACACTACAGTGATCTACGTGAAAAGTGTGTACCGATATACACACACATGTACTACATGTGTGTGTATATCGGTACACACCAACACACTAGATGTGTGTATATCGGTACACACCAACACACTAGATGTGTGTATATCGGTACACACCAACACACTAGATGTGTGTATATCGGTACACACCAACACACTAGATGTGTGTATATCGGTACACACCAACACACTAGATGTGTGTATATCGGTACACACCAACACACTAGATGTGTGTATATCGGTACACACCAACACACTAGATGTGTGTATATCGGTACACACCAACACACTAGATGTGTGTATATCGGTACACACCAACACACTAGATGTGTGTATATCGGTACACACCAACACACTAGATGTGTGTATATCGGTACACACCAACACACTAGATGTGTGTATATCGGTACACACCAACACACTAGATGTGTGTATATCGGTACACACCAACACACTAGATGTGTGTATATCGGTACACACCAACACACTAGATGTGTGTATATCGGTACACACCAACACACTAGATGTGTGTATATCGGTACACACCAACACACTAGATGTGTGTATATCGGTACACACCAACACACTAGATGTGTGTATATCGGTACACACCAACACACTAGATGTGTGTATATCGGTACACACCAACACACTAGATGTGTGTATATCGGTACACACCAACACACTAGATGTGTGTATATCGGTACACACCAACACACTAGATGTGTGTATATCGGTACACACCAACACACTAGATGTGTGTATATCGGTACACACCAACACACTAGATGTGTGTATATCGGTACACACCAACACACTAGATGTGTGTATATCGGTACACACCAACACACTAGATGTGTGTATATCGGTACACACCAACACACTAGATGTGTGTATATCGGTACACACCAACACACTAGATGTGTGTATATCGGTACACACCAACACACTAGATGTGTGTATATCGGTACACACCAACACACTAGATGTGTGTATATCGGTACACACCAACACACTAGATGTGTGTATATCGGTACACACCAACACACTAGATGTGTGTATATCGGTACACACCAACACACTAGATGTGTGTATATCGGTACACACCAACACACTAGATGTGTGTATATCGGTACACACCAACACACTAGATGTGTGTATATCGGTACACACCAACACACTAGATGTGTGTATATCGGTACACACCAACACACTAGATGTGTGTATATCGGTACACACCAACACACTAGATGTGTGTATATCGGTACACACCAACACACTAGATGTGTGTATATCGGTACACACCAACACACTAGATGTGTGTATATCGGTACACACCAACACACTAGATTACCAGATTACATTGAAAGTTGTGAACGCACATGAAGTTGGATCTTAGGCAATGGCTAGCTGTCATGAACACATGCATACGCATACCTCGGTTATCCAGAGCCTGAAGTTACGGGCACTTCAGTCTACCGGGCACCCTTTGGACGAGTTTTAGTGGAAATATGACTACACTTTCGTCACTTTTTGTGGGAACAGCGACTTCATATGCCATATCTCTGGCCTTTCCCCCATCAAAATGTATGTGATTCGGAGTTGCGGACATTTCAAAGTAACTTAGTTACGGGCAGTGGCCGGTCCCGGACCACGCGGATAACCCAGGTACATGATTGTACATGATTGTACTGAAGTACATGCATGTGCAGTGTAACCTGAATGTTTGTTGAGATATCGAGGCCGTTGCCACTAGCCATTGGCGGATAATGCTTGAAAAACTGGCAGATTCTGCTCGAAATGCAGTGAAATTGGCAGAACCATACCAACCTTATGGCAGGCACTTCCTTGTATTCCGCTCCATTTCTTTATCCACATACCAAACATGCATGAAACATACCGGAAAAAGTACTAGCATCACACACCATCTTGAAGAGCACTGGTCACTGTGCAACACAACACGTATGTCTGAAACTGACCACTGCCGGAGTACATCAGGAGATCACAGGGCAGTGCCAGTGGTGCGACCGGGGTCCGGGGTGTGACCGCAGGGGGGGGGGGGGATTTTTCGGCCAGCAGGGCACGGTTTAGCGCTCACAGGCACTCTGGGCGGACCACCATGGACGAACAGTGGTCTGGCCATGGTCGTACTGGCCGTACCGTGCGAGACGCCCCATGTACACGCTTAAAAAAAGCAGCAGAAGTTAAATGACACATACTTACCTGGTAACCACTGTACCGTAACTTCTTTCTTCGGCTTAGATACCAGACGACTACCACAACTAGCAGCACAGCAGCCAGTGATAAACTGACACCAATTGCAGCCACAGCTCCCGCTCCTAGGCTTCCCGAGGCGACCACGGGCGGACTGGCGTCGAAACCTGTAGTCGCCCGTGACTTTGTCACCGTAGCTGATGACATCATGGGTGAGGTTGATGACATCATAGTGCTCTGCACAGATCTATCATTAGGTACCTTAGATGGAACCACGGTTACATGTTCAGTTGTCTGCTGGTCTGCTCTGTCACCGGATGATGTGTCGTCACTAGTAACCGGTGCCGGGGATGATCCAGACGCAGCGTCATCACCACCGTCGCTTCCCTGGTTACCACCGCCGTCCGCGGGAGAGACGGGAGCAGCAGGAGTTGGTGCAATGCTATGGCTGTTGATCACAACCGCACCTGCAAGCAAGAGTTGGTTGATTCCAGGCAACACGCACAACCACATACCAATACTAGTTGCCTTACAACACTAACTTCACTACACTACTGAACATTGGTACACAGCTTGGAAACCCCGATACTCAACACTGGCAACATGCATATACTAGAGTACTATTGATCCAATAGTGGAGATCGAGTTCTAGGCAGGCTATCAAATTGGCTCTTTGTGATAAATTTGTCAGATGCTAGGATATTTTACATGTACGTTTACATGCACGGCTAATCCAATGCTAATCCAATGCTAATCCAATGCTAATGCTAACCCAATGCGGATGCATGTTCTCATGTTTGTTACTAAAATAACATTTCTGCTCCATGATTAGTATCAACAGGTAAATGGTTTCATGCATATGAATTTCATCATGTTGTCATGTCGCACTATCTGACAGTACAATTAATTTATTATCTCGCTACCTTGGTGGACTGTCAGTCATAACTACTATTGGGCCTTTCTCTTTACATGCATACTATGGGCTCAACACTTGAACACCCGAGTTTTAATTTCATCTACATTTTAATTTAATTCCCTCACATGAAAAATGACTCTTCAAATGAGTTTTGTAGTTTGGGCATGGCTACTGCTTACGCATTGCAGAATCTGAATTAAAATTCACCTGTTGTTCCTATCCCCACTGCTGGTCGCTCTGTGGCTGGTTGACCGCTGCTCCAATCCGGACAGCCAACGAGTAGCACAAATAGCAGCAACAGCGCTACACGGACTCCTAGTCGTGACATCGTGTCCGGGAACTCCCTACTTCTCTGCGCTGCTAACGTTGAAGCACAGCTGCTAGTACTAGCGATGCCATTCTCCATGTTGCTGCTGCTGCTGCAGCATTGTCAACCGCCAGCCGCACTAGCACGTAGATGCACCTTCTCTCGGACACTCAATGATAATGTAACTCATTCAAGGAAAGCAAAAGGCTTTCTCATTTGACAAAATCGTATCTCAGTCTCTGAAAATTTTGCCTCCTGCCGAGCGTTTGTTCGGACGTTACTCACGTTAGTCGTTACGTCAAGCGACACATATACATGACTCATTATTATGAGTATAGACGTCAATATCAACGGTCAAGTCAAGACTCAAGAGCGAGTTACACGTCACTACATTAAATTTTAGCTTTCGTCCTTGACTATGTTCATATGATCATGTTCATGTTGCCATTGTTGGCGGCCGGCTTGAGTTGCTTGATATAATGACCCCGGGTCGCGGAGCAGAGTCTACATCAGTACATGGTCTACGACTACGACTCGTACTCGTAGATCTACGAGTAGCGTTCAAGATCGTCTGACGGCTTCACAAAACCACCTACTCAGTACTGAGACCTACAAAGGCGTCATTGTAGTACGTGTATGTATCTGCGTCACGGACGCCGTCCTTCGGTCATGTAGCAGCCTCCCTGGCTTGGCCCTTGTTTGTAGATCTACCCATTCTTTCTCGGGCAGTAAATCCTTACTGCTATCCAGGTAGTGGTGCATGGTAGCGACTTCGGAGATACTAATAATAATAAGAAGAAGAAGACGAACGTTCATAGGAAAGATGCTCCCCACACCGGAGCTCACGCTTTTCCGCCGACTGACTTGACACTTGACTGACTCACAACTGCCATCCAGAGCACACGAGAAGTCCATCGAACCTTCGACTCGGCAAACCTGCAAGAAAGCACCATTCCCCGCTCAACACACAGTATTTGGGGGAATTCACCCCTCATCAGTTGAGCTTGAGTAGGCTGAGGAAGATTGTGTCCGAAGAGCACCACTTATACCTAAAAAATGTCTTTAGTGCTCTCCAGGCCAAACCATCACCAGGGATACAAACTTACACGCTCCGTTTCCAGCGCGACAAACACCTCGTGAAAATCGCACCTAGATATCAGCGCGAATCAGTGTCGCGATTTTCACGAGGTGTTTGTCGCGCTGGAAACGGAGCGTGTAAGTTTGTATCCCTGGTGATGGTTTGGCCTGGAGAGCACTAAAGACATTTTTTAGGTATAGTGGACGGTGAGAACACAGTCAGAAGTATAGTTGGTTGCTCTCAACACTGGTCTGTCTGGAGCACGGGCCTCCCCCTCGGCCGGACCTGAATTATCACCTGACTGGCTCACAGTTACCACGGCCAGAGCACACGAGAAGTCCATCGAACCTTCCACTCGACAAACCTGCAAGAAAGCATCACTCCTCGCTCAGTGCACAGCTAGTGTTTCGGGGAATTCACTCCTCATCAGTTGAGCTTTTGACGTTTTGTAGGCTGAGAAAGATAGTTCTACACAATCATGCACATCCATGGGCCATGGCATGATCTGAGCGCCACTGACTGACGTCATTGCTGTGTACTAGTATCTGGTGTTTACGGGGTGTTCGTCGCCTGGAAGCGGAGAGTCGCTGTAAGTAACATTAGTACTGTTGTACATGTAGTTTATATCCCTGGCCTGGTGATGTTTTGGCCCGGAGAGCACCACATACATGTACAGCTCATCAAGCCTACACATGTACATGTTAAAAGTGATGCTTCCCAGGCACTTTTCGCCAGCTCAACTGATGAGGGTTGAATTCCCGGAAACACTGTGTATTGAGCAGGGAGCGGTGCTTGCTTGAAGGTTTGCCGAGTGGAAGGTTCGACATGCTTTTTCGTGTGCTTCAGATGCAGAGAGTCGTGAGTCAGTCAAGTGTCAAGCCATTCCGCAGAAAGCACAAGCTCCAATGTTGGGAGCAACAGACATTCTGACTGTGACTTTCATCCGAAAGGGGGGTTCCCTCGAAGAGGGGTCCTGCAGCATTATAACCGCTGTCTACTCTGAACACTTGCCTTGCACCTGACGTTTCTTCAGTCTCAAAATCTGTCCCTGAGGTACCTACATTGTACATGTACATTGTATCTGCGCATGCACTTGAAGGAGATCCTGCCGGGCCGGGGTCATGTTGCCTATTGTTGGTCCTTTCCCGATGCAACCATGTCTTTATCATTCATACGAATATTCTTCGATGATCGTCATCCGATCCGTCGAATCGTCGACGTCTCACTCACAGATCGCGCCATTCACCGAGTCTGTGGATCATCATGATCATGCGCAGACCTACATCTACATGACTGTACCACTACGCTAGTGTAAGTGTAAGTCTTTGACCTTTGTACCTGCACTGGTCAGCTAGCTGTGGGCAGCTAGCTTGCCCACTATCTTCAAGGTTTCGAAGTCGGAAGAGGTTTTTCTCACTTCTCATACTACTCGTAGTTTGTTGTAGCGAATCTCTCCTTCGATTCTAGCGAGGCTCTTCACCGTAGGCGTAGAACTACCTGAGTGTGAGGAAACCGAAGAAACCTAGGTTTCAGCGGCTGTCTGTAGTACGCTATAGTAGACTTCATGCATGCGTCCGCGTGGAGTGATTCTGATCGAATAGACCACCAAGGAAGGGACCCTTTACGAGCGTGATCCGGCATGCGCCGGGCGGTCAGAAATGACGCGTGTCCTGGACGTCTGACAGCTTGGGGCCGATGTTGGCATGCCAGCTCATGATCATGCAGGATTCTTTAGCGAAGGACTAAAGGGACCGTCACTTAATTTTTGCCGACTACCCGCCAAAAAAATCTTTTCGTTTCACGTGCCAGACACGTCCGCGAGCGCGTACGACTCGCGCTCGGCCGGCCGCGCTACCTTTCACGTCAAGCAATTCTGTTCACGCCACATGGCTGGATTGGATAGCGCGTACATGCAGACATGATTGAAGACTTGCAAAATCAATTTTTTTACAAGTCCAGGCGCTAGGCGCTAGGCCTAGGCAGTACTAATGCCAATACAAAGGCTAATGGAGTAATGCCCAGGCAGCTGACTTTATTTTCGGAGAAACACTACTCATTGTAGTAAAAAGTAACAATGAATAGCGACATCATCTAGGAAGGATCGCTACCCTAACGCAAAGGAAAGGCCTTGTGCGGCTGCTCTACGAAGTGTTGAAGAAAGACTCATCAAAGTTAGTTGGTGGACGAACAACTCGCTGGCGCCGGAAAACTTGGCCCCCAACGATGGTGTTTGGTGAATCATCAAGCATAATGTCTTGTAGCGGTGTTCACCGAGGAAGGAGAACGCTCTAGCCGCTGCTGTTGTCCGTTTCATCCACGTTGGGCGTTAGCTGCACCGCGCCTATTGTGTTTTAGTATTCCATGGACACACATTAGCATTCAGAGCGATTGTGGAGCCACAATTTACTTCACACAGCGTTGTATTGTCCACGAGCGCAAACTTCATTATCAGCAGTAACTGTTACTCTTCATCCTACATGTAGATTTGGAGTATACACGGCCTTGTCACGACAGCGACAGCTCTACAGCGTGTTCAAGTGAGAAACATTAATTTCAATTGTTGGTGGACGAATAAATGGCTGGTTCCGAAAAACGCGGCCTGCACCGATGGTGTTTGGTGGATCATCAAACAGGGTGACCAGCAGTGTTCACCGAGGAAGGAGAATGCACTCGCCACCACTCCGATTCATCCAAGTGGGCGTTAGCTGCGCCGCGCCTATTGTGTTTTAGTATTTCATGGACGCACACTAGCGTTCTCAGCGATTGTGGAGCCACAACATATCTTCATGCGGCGTTGCACTGTCCAAGAGCAGAAACGTCAGCAGTGACCCATCATCATACATGTCGATTTGGAGTATACACACCATGCGCCAATGGGCCTTGGCACAACAGCGGCAGCTCTACGGAGTGTTGAAGTGAGAAACATTTGTTTTGACTTTTGGTGGACGAACAAATCGGTGGTGCCGAAAAACGTGGCCTGCGCCGATGGTGTTTGAACCATCGAGGGCTCCGGAAGCAGCAGCTGAGCCAGATCAGCCAGTCTTGCCAACTCTCAGTTGCCGGACTCCGTGCTGCAGCTAGCAGCACTGGCACCAGCCGGAAATATTTTTCCGCCGATACCCGTTACTTCCAGTTCTGTCAAGGGCATGACTGGAATCCATTGCCAGGTGATGACTTTTTACTTTATGTGTTGTTTTGCTGCCGAGTTGTTCAGAACTTTTCAGCCCCGATCTGTCCATGTCTACATGTCGGCCATCCGCAAACTTTAGGTGGAAGTTGGCTTTACCTACCCGTCGGGCCCAATGACTCTCCTCGCAAGGTTCCTGTCGGGCATCAACAGGTCATCATCGACACAGCGTCATCGCCTGCTGATAACCACTCAACTTCTCAGGGAGATTAGCCGGCATGTTGCCTTTCCATGGATGTGGCACCCTCATGACAAGGCCATGCTAAGGGCAAACTGACTGCTTGATTTTAGCTTTACATTACCGCAGTCAGTCCAGCACAATACGCCAATCGTATTTCACTATAACTCGCGTGTCATAATTGGGGATATGGGCTGCTCCGCCCTATATCCCTGATATGCCAAATAGACGAAAAGTGTGTTCTGAGCCTGTATCGCGTATAATAGGCTCATCGTAAAACAAATAATATAAGTCTTAAAAATCAGGGTTCACGTGACACTCGGGTTCCAGCCAAGTTTTCCGCATCCGCAGGAACGCTACCCCCCCCTCGTGAATCATAGTATAGTGGACTCTGCAATGAACAGATTATGAAACTCCCTGCAGATTTACTACGGTCATCTCTGGTGACTGGTCTTGGGGCACCGTGGAAGCTGTGACTGGTTGCCAAGTTTAGTTTTGTGACTGATCATGGGGCATTTGTGACTACTTCGAAGCACAGCTCTGATTGATCACAGAGTCTTACTGTTGTGAATATTTATATCGATTGAGAAGTCAAGCAGCCACGGGGCGCTGGCCTTGCAGCTGTGAGTATGCATACGGTACATATTCACATGACTCTAGTGCTGGACACTGCTGGTCCATTGTTGCAGTGTGTAAGTGAACTGCAGAACCTATTCCGTGATGAAACACCTACTCTTGAAAGACTGAATGTTTGAGCTAATAGTCTTTTACTTCACTCTCATGCTGCTCATATAATTATACCATACGCCAGAAGACCCTAAGTTAGTTCTAAGATTTTGTGGACCATGTGACTATGTGGTACTTTCACTCTACAGCCAAGTCAACCTCTTCGTCAACACACAGGGTTTTCCTCAGACACAAGCGAATGGTTTACTCCACTCTGGAGAAGAACACAGTTTGCTCTCTCGAACACCAACTGCATAATGACTACGGAATGTAGGAAGTGCAACAACTGCTAGAATATTGAACTGTCGTCCACACAAAACAAATAAAGACAACTGAAAACCAAAACACATGCAACTGCCAACATGCATGTAACAGCGACTGCAAGCCAGACCTACAGACTCCGCGCAGGGAGGAACAGGGGAAACAGAGGTAACGCTTCCGACTCCGAGAGCTTCGAATAGCAGCGGACAAAACAATCCATCAACCTTACGTGTCACCTTGCGCTACCGCAAACGAACACCTATGGATGCACAGTGCAGCACAGACTCAGTGCATGCACGGTGTAATAACTGGAGTACATGTAAACCGACAACGGTCACCTTGCACCCTATGCAGTAAGTTACATAGGCTTGACGTGAAAGGTAACGCGGGCGAGCGCGAGTCGTACGCGCTCGCGGACGTGCCTGACACGTGAAACGAAAAGATTGTTTTGGCGGGTAGTCGGCAAAAATTAAGTGACGGCCCCTTTAGACCTTCGCGTTCGGCGAAGGACTAAAGGGACCGATTCAGGGCAGATCGTGACATGATGGTGACTCTGATTGGTGACCCATGCGAGAACACACATTACACTTGCGGGTGGCCTTGCACTGAGTTGACCGGTGCCCTGTGCGCAAACACACAAAGCAACGCTTCTGTTCAATCAGTTATTCTTTCCGCTGTGCTACTGTTGTGTATTTCGCGCAGTCACCACATACCATGCTTGATGTTTCAAGCACCATCGGCGCAGGCCACGTTTTTCGACGATTTGTTCGTCCACCAAAAGTCGAAACAAATGTTTCTCACTTCAACACTCCGTAGAGCTGCCGCTGTTGTGCCAAGGCCCATTGGCGCATGGTGTGTATACTCCAAATCTACATGTATGATGATGGGTCACTGCTGACGTTTCTGCTCTTGGACAGTGCAACGCCGCATGAAGATATGTTGTGGCTCCACAATCGCTGAGAACGCTAGTGTGCGTCCATGGAATACTAAAACACAATAGGCGCGGCGCAGTTAACGCCCACTTGGATGAATCGGAGTGGTGGCGAGTGCATTCTCCTTCCTCGGTGAACACTGCTGGTCACCCTGTTTGATGATCCACCAAACACCATCGGTGCAGGCCGCGTTTTTCGGAACCAGCCATTTATTCGTCCACCAACAATTGAAATTAATGTTTCTCACTTGAACACGCTGTAGAGCTGTCGCTGTCGTGACAAGGCCGTGTATACTCCAAATCTACATGTAGGATGAAGAGTAACAGTTACTGCTGATAATGAAGTTTGCGCTCGTGGACAATACAACGCTGTGTGAAGTAAATTGTGGCTCCACAATCGCTCTGAATGCTAATTGTGTCCATGGAATACTAAAACACAATAGGCGCGGTGCAGCTAACGCCCAACGTGGATGAAACGGACAACAGCAGCGGCTAGAGCGTTCTCCTTCCTCGTTGAACACTGCTACAAGACAATTATGCTTGATGATTCACCAAACACCATCGGTGGGGGCCAAGTTTTCCGGCGCCAGCGAGTTGTTCGTCCACCAACTAACTTTGATGAGTCTTTCTTCAACACTTCGTAGAGCAGCCGCGCAAGGCCTTTCCTTTGCGTTAGGGTAGCGATCCTTCCTAGATGATGTCGCTATTCATTGTTACTTTTTACTACAATGAGTAGTGTTTCTCCGAAAATAAAGTCAGCTGCCTGGGCATTAGCCTTTGGAATTAGTACTGCCTAGGCCTAGCGCCTAGCGCCTGGACTTGTAAAAAAATTGATTTTGCAAGTCTTCAATCATGTCTGCATGTACGCACTATCCAATCCAGCCATGTGGCGTGAACCATGGTGAACAGAATTGCTTGACGTGAAAGGTAGCGCGGCCGGCCGAGCGCGAGTCGTACGCGCTCGCGGACGTGTCTGGCACGTGAAACGAAAAGATTTTTTTGGCGGGTAGTCGGCAAAAATTAAGTGACGGTCCCTTTAGTCCTTCGCGGATTCTTTACGAAGTTGCCATAGCGCGGCACAGAACTGAAGTCAACCTGATCTGCTGAGGCGCTGCAGTACTGCCAGTAGCGAATGAGTATCCAGTGAAACTATAGTATGCATATTTTAGGTAACCCAGGTCAGGATGATCACCATGACATGAGCTTCGCGACGATCCGGAGTGGTCCGACCGGCAGTGAAGTCGACGCGAATACAGACAGACTGTGCAGGTGCGCAAACCAGGATCTCACATTACAGTCCACTCGGCTGGGCGGGTGTGCCCTCCAAGTGCGCTGTCAAGAGCAACATAGCAGTCATCAGCAACGGCTTTCTTTTCTTGAGAAGCCGACTGGCGCTGTGCCCATCGCTGCAACCCACACTTGCATGTGGCTTCATTTACTCTTGAAAGACAATAATTATTGTAATAAA